ACGTAGTCACACTAAACCGATCGACAATCGCTTGACAAATATAGTTTTCAATGCATTTTACTACACACTATTTCGACCGACCAAAGCTAAGTATATAACAAAATACTTAGACGCTATTGTGAAGTCGTCATTAATGGTGAGATATTTAGAGATTTGAATGTCAATCTTACCACCTTCAGTCATCAGACATAACAGGGTTTTTTTTCTATTTCCGATACTACATTTACGTGCAAGCGATGCTTTATGTGTGGGTTTTACGTACATAGTTATAGAACACAGATTATGAAATACGTCGATTGTCTGATTGAGTGAAATGAGTGATGCAGCATAAGTTATTTCAGGGAGTCTATACAACACTTATAGACCTCTGGCTGTATTACAGCTATATCCGCGACAAGTCGGTCGTCTGAAGATTGTGTATAGAAAATCGTATTGTCTGTTGACTGAGTGCTTCTCACTGATTGAATTAACCATGACACGCGTGGCACAGTGGTTCACTGCGCTGCAATTTTCTATACATAAATTGCAAGTGATTCCGTGGTTTTTGGTTGGTTAACTTAGCATATTTCTTTCCGTTTATGTTTCCATAAACCTTAAAAAAAGCAGGCTTCGTACACTAGCGAACAACCGTTTTCTGATTGGCTGATAATGATGGGTGAGGCCGAGGTGTGCGTGCTTGCATGTACAAGTTCTGACTAATGCCGTTTTTTATAATGCTAGCCCACTGAGATACCATGCTGCAGTTTAACAGGATAACAACAAGTGTTGCATATTACTCTGAATAATGTCAAGGGTGTCGTATTGTTTGTCTGTAATTTTTAAATAAGCAGTCTGTGAGTTTTTACCGTTAACCAGGGACCACATTTCGGTATATGGTATCTGTGTTAACGTATATACTGAGGAGAACTGACTTCAACGAGTTTTGCGTGTGTGGAGGTAGCTTCGCTGATTTACACAAAGAATGCACGACGGTTTTGTACGTATATACCTCAACAAACGCAAGCAGATATTTAAGTCAATTCCCAAGGACAGAGTGTCCTCCTTTACGGGTTAGATCCCTGTGGTGAATTATATCATGACTCAGGAGGCGACAGTGGGGAAGCTCTATTGTTTCCTTCTCGTGTGTGGCCTATGATAGGTAAAGCTTGGCTGCTGTAACCGTGTCTTTGTGCTGCTCCCTATAAGCGATGTTGATATTGACTTCTTCACAGATCATTTATATGGAGGACAGAGGTTACCGCAGCTGGGCGAGTTCTGAAACATACAGACCAGTAGTTGTTATATAATTATATCCTTTTCCGATTTTAAAGTATACCACCCGACATTTTATGTCTTGGTAATAGGTATGTGCTCGTTTTGCACTAGGAGCGGTCGGGTAGCCTAGTGGTTAAAGCGTTCACTCGTCACGCCGAAGACCCGGGTTCGATTCCCGACATGGGTACAATGTGTGAAGACCATTTCTGGTGTCCCCGGCCGTGATATTGCTGGAATGTTGCTAAAAGCGGTGTAAAACCATAGTCACTAACTCACTCGTTTTGCACTAGCATCGTATATTCACAAAACGTTTACCTTACATTACATCCACACACACACAGAGAGAGAGAGAGAGAGTGTGTGTGTGTGTGTGTGTGTGTGTGTGCGTGCGTGCGTGCGTGCGTGCGTGCGTGCGTGCGTGCGTGCGTGCGTGCGTGCGTGCGTGCGTGCGTGTGTGTGTGTGTGTGTGTGTGTTAATGCCACTCATATCAATGACAAGTGGCAGTAATACCTATTCTATTTTTAATACTCGCGGAGTTCACTTTGTACAGTAACCATGTAGTCATCTTCCTGAGGCAAGGGAGTTCAATGACTTTAAAAGTCCGGTTTCCACCCTTACCGAACTAGGCTGGAATAGAGGAGCCATATTGTCTATGCGTAGTCCCTCAAAATCCCTTCACGATATCGACATCCGGTTCATAAACAACATGGCAACCGCCGTGCCGAATTCGTTCGATTGCAGGATTTGCAGAGCATGTGTACCGACAACTGAGTGTCGACAGATATTTTCCAAATCTTTATATGTTAATCAAGTTGCTCAAGTTTTATTACAATAAAGATCTTTATTATTTATGAAATCGTCTTGACTGGGTGTCGCCATGCTGTTCGAAGCTATAATCGAGTCCAGAAATTCCAGCCTAGTTCAGCAGGGGTGGAAGATGCCGTGCTGTGAATCAAGGGAAGTGAGTGAGTGAGTATGGTTTTACGCCGCTTTTAGCAATATTCCAGCAATATCACGGCGGGGGACACCAGAAATGGGCTTCACACACTGTACCCATGTGGGGAATCGAACCCGGGTCTTCGGCGTGACGAGCTAACGCTTTAACCACTAGGCTACCCGACCGCCCCGAATCAAGGGAAGGATAGGTCCCCGGGGTTTGTGAGATCCAGACTTCATTATAGTCAAAATGTCTTGCTCCAAAAATGCTGAATGCGACAACATATACTCACTTACTTGAGGAGAGTTAAGATCTTCATCACGGCCCACATTACAACAAACAGGCCTCCACAGACTACTTTTACTGATATTGCCTCACAGTTTACGTCCGCTTCATTGACTTAATTACAACACGATGTCGTTGGCGAACACACAATGTGATGGAAAGATAATCATGTAATGCAATCCATCTTCTTGATATAATTATCACAGCTTTATCACTTCGACTGGTGAAAGTTATCATATTATAAACACGAACATGAGATAGTTTACAAATGAGTTGTGTATTTATAGTCTCGTGATTATGTTTCTTGTTAATGCATCAAAGTTTGTTATTCAACCCAGCACTCGGGAATATTCCAGATATATGTGTGTGGCCTGTAACCTTCCTTAAATGTACCAGACAATCCAGTGACTGACATCGTGTCCAGAATATATATATTTACCATTAATCAAACAAATTGTAAAGTACAAAGTTCTTGTTTCATATTTGTTGTTACATGGCAATGCACTGTCACCAAATGATTCGTTTGTTTGTTGGTTGGTTGTTTAACGCCGCACTCAGAAATATTCCAGCTATGTGACCGCGGTCTGTAAAATAATCAGGTCTGAACCAGACAATCCAGTGATTAACCTCATGAGCATCGATGGGATCGATGACATGCATCAACCAAGTCAGCGAACCTGACCACCCGATCTCGTTAGTCGCCTCTAACGTTGGTTGTTGTGTTGGGTTGACCTAGTTTCAAAGATGCCTATGCATCTCTCTCTCTCTCTCTCTCTCTCACACACACACACACACACACACATGCACACACATGCACAACACTATATAAGTGCAATAATCTTGAACCATGTCAAACCCCATTTCACCTTACGTCTTTGATGCTGAGGGGGCATAAGTGCACTAGGTTGTTGCAATTTTCAGTAGCAAATGTAGTTGTGCTCACTGATGAAGATGTGCAACGATTCATGATACAGTAAACTACGTTTATAACGAACACGCTTATTACAAACTGACGGATATAACAAAATGAGTTTTCATCGCATCCATTCACTGTATATTTGCTGTATGTATGCTGTAGTGTATATATGCTTAAAACGAACTACAGTTACAGCGAACTAAAAGTAGTGGTCCGTACGATTTCGTTGTCGTAGTTTACTGTACATCCATACTGGAAGTGCGACGATACACAGATGCATCGCTGGATCACGATTTTTTACTTCTTGATACAAGTATCATTCACAATCGCACCCAAAGTAAAATGTATCAATTCTTACCTTAAATGTATTCTTCAATAAATGTTACACCAAGCACAAATTACTAGTGAAAATGAGTAGTGAAAACGTAAATACTTCCATTGCGACATACTTGACACTGCCAACTGGAAATTGTTAGTGCGCCAGGTATTTGGCCATCATGTCTATGAAAAATATAGCTCACGCACCACAGAAAAGTGCACATACAAGTATCGTGATACGTATCGGATCGTGAGCAAGGTATCATGGTACGTATCGGATCGCCCACTGGGTGTTTCGTCCCAGCCCTACACAGGATTTCAAGCACCTTGTGCACATCGTGCCCATGACTGCATGCCTCCGTCTTTTCATCAAGAAACTGGGGTCCTTTAGGGGTTACCCAATCACTGCATACCAGGATATTTCTTTATTTGTTGGAAGATTTTTTATACAAAAACTTGATCCTCAGCAAACTTTGAGTAGTTGACATAACAGTGTGAAATTGATCATCAAATATTTTCAATATTTGAATAATCCTTGTAACTTTGAAACTAATATGTATAATTTTACCTGCAACAACCTACGTGAAATTACGCTTATCTGAATTATCTGAAACAACCTACGTGAAATTACGGCTTATCTGAATTATCTGATTATCATAAATGAATGCTGTCCCGAGACTTATTAGCACCATTCATTCATTTGGGACAGACAAACTGTAATTCTTCGTTGCTCATTGGTTTATTGTCTAATGATTCTGTATTCTGTAATCTGCTTCTGCTCTCACTTCCTCCGCAGTCACTGTTTGTGTTTGTTTGTTTGTTTGTTTGTTGTTTAACGCCGCACTCAGCAATATTCCAGCTATATGATGGCGGTCTGTAAAATAATCATGTCTGGACCAGACAATCCTGTGATTGACATCATGAGCTTCGATCCACACAATTGGGATACGATGACAGGCATCAACCAAGTCAGCGAGCCTGACCACCCAATCCCGTTAGTCGCCTTTTACAACAAGCATAGTCGCCCTTTACGGCAAGTATGGGTTGCTGAAGACCTATTCTACCCCGGAATCTTCACAGTTTTCTACAGTTTTTGAAACTACAGTGTTTGTAAATGTGTGATCCTTTTCACACTGTTGTGAATAGATATATACAAACTATGTACAAATTTGTTCAGGATTCTGAACATGAAGGGATTGCATGTCTATTATCTCTTAAAAGACAATTTAACAACATTTTAACTGTTAAAATCCAGTCTAAAACCATGCACACAACCAATGAAGAGAACATCATTTATGACTGTATTTTATTCTTTCAAATAAATAATTGTACCAGCAATGCAAATAAATGATATATTCAGAATACCTGAGTATTCAAATTGTTCAGAGTTATGAAATGATTGTTTTGACATTTCAGTCCTCCAATATTACAAATCAAATAATCTTGATAAACTTGCATAAACTTTAAAAATATTATAAAATATACAATTAGCATTCCTGTTCAAAAAAACAAAATATCTTGAGACACTTGAGACCAAATTGAAATAAAATCAGTTTTCTTCCATGTGAGACTGTTATTTTATTGTCAACTCATCTATAAAGAGAATACAGTGAAACCTCGCTAATCAGGATGGTACCCTTCCAAATCCAGATTACCAAATCATTGGTACGGAGTTACCTTGGATATCAATAGATGTTCCTAACAAGGTGGTCTGGTAGGCAGGGTTCCAGATTACAAGGGTTCCAGATTACCAGGGTCCAGATTAACGAGGTTTCACTCAACTGTCATGAATAAAAGCCCCTAATTTAAAATCTAAAATACCGGTTAAATCTCCCTTGTCAAAAGTGACATAAATATATTGACAATAGCACAATCACAGAATGAAATAAATAACTTGATGTACTTGACACACAACAAGGGAATAGACAGACAGGAACATACTGGAAATGCTGGTCTGGGAATGTTTGGATTTGATATGTATTCGAATTTGATTATCTTGAAAACACAAATACAAAAATATTTGTTAGTAGACTAGAACCCTGAATCTTAGAACATAGTTAGTATATTAACCAACTCAGCAGATTGTGTTGTCGACTTTGGAAGCACCAAATACTTCTTATAAAACTCAAGGCTCTTAACACTAAGTTTTCAATAATGGACAGGACAGACATTTACATGACAAAATATGTTATCATAACATTGAAATTTGCACATGAATAAAAGTGGGCATTAAATATTACTTGGAATCAGGATAAATTAAAATTTGTCAATTTAAAAAAGACTGAAATCATTAAATCTGACGATTTACATCGGAAACTTGTGAGTCCTGAAACATTTGATTATGAGCCTTTACATCACACACATGCATTGAATATGACTGGACACACTCTATACAACTTGCACAGCTTACACACATATTCACACACAAGCAGAGTCTAGGACTCCCCGGCTGTCTCCCCCTCTCCCTGGGTCTCGGTTTCTCTTGGGGTCTCAGTCTCCCCCTGGGTCTCTGTGTCCCCCTGGGTCTCGGTCTCTCCCTCCCCCGTTGTCTCTTCTCCTGTCTTCTCCCCCTCTTCCTGGGTTTCCTCTGTTTCGGTTTGTCCCTGCACACAAAGAAATGAAAAAATGACAAGAATGTTTAATTGCACATATAGTACACATAATCAGGAAAGAGGGAGGTATTTGTCCCACCAATACTGGGTAACACCAACAGGAACACAGTGAGACTGGACCACAGTGAGACTGGGCAACAGCAAGACTGGGCAACAGCAAGACTGGGCAACAGCAAGACTGGGCCACAGCAAGACGACCAACGCAAGACTGGGCCACAGCAAGACTGGGCCACAGCAAGACTGGGCCACAGCAAGACTGGGCCACAGCAAGACTGGACCACTTGGAGATGCTATGGGGCAAATGTCTAAACCTATTTCTGTCTGATCTCACCTGACCTGTGAAGATCCGCAGTAAAAATAGGTCTTCAGCAACCCATGTTTGCTGTAAAAGGCGACTATGCTTGTCTTAGAGGTCACTTACAGGATCGAGTGGTCAGGCTTGCTGACTTGGTTGATGCATGTCATCTTATCCCAATTGCGTGGATCAATGCTCATGTCAATCATTGGATTGTCTGGTCCAGACTCGATTATTTACAGACCGCCGTCATATAGCTGGAATATTGTGTAATAAGTGCAGCTTTAAACAACAACAACAATCTGATCTCACCTCTTCCTGTTTGGCCTCAGTTCCTTCAGCAACAGGAGCTGCAGGTGTTTCCGCAACAACTGGTTCTTCCTTCTCCAACAGTGTGGGGAGTTTAGAGTCTGATGCTGCCTCCTTAGCCTGTTCTTCCTCTTCCGCCTGAACAAAAAACATCACAGTTTATTCCATGTTACTTTAAAGCATGTCGTTTTTTATCCATCATTAATTTTGCACATGAGAAATTAAGGTTCTTGCGTCATCTTGTAAAACCCCTACAGCCAGTCTAGTACAGATGAGCAGCCTGCTGAACAACAGTTTACACAACACAGGATACAGCTACGGTCCACTGACAGTTGCCACAAGGAACATGTGTTGCCATCAGCCTTTGTTTCACATTAGAAAACAATCGTAGTACACAATTAAAGTATTGATTATTATATTCCTGGTTGCAGGTATATGTGTTTCTGACTGATAGCTGTACCATGTTGATCATGAAACAGTCACCACACAGCCTCAGTTCTGAGCGCTGTATTTTGTCTCAACATGTTTTCCTCAACAGCTACATACATACAGATACCCTAACATTCTAGTATACCCATGGCTGACAGTAACATTCCAATATACTCATGGCTTACAGTAACATTCTAGTATACCCATGGCTGACGGTAACATTCCAATATACTCATGGCTTACAGTGACATTCCAGTATACTCATGGCTGACAGTAACATTCCAGTATACCCATGGCTGACAGTAACATTCCAGTATACTCATGGCTGACAGTAACATTCCAGTATACCCATGGCTGACAGTAACATTCCAGTATACCCTGGGTTACAGTAACATTCCAGTATACCCTGGGTTACAGTAACATTCCAGTATACCCATGGCCGACAGTAACATTCCAGTATACCCTGGGTTACAGTAACATTCCAGTATATTCATGGTTGACAGTAACATTCCAGTATATTCATGGTTGACAGTAACATTCCAGTATACCCATGGCTGACAGTAACATTCCAGTATACCCTGGGTTACAGTAACATTCCAGTATACCCATGGCTGACAGTAACATTCCAGTATACCCTGGGTTACAGTAACATTCCAGTATACCCTGGGTTACAGTAACATTCCAGTATACCCTGGGTTACAGTAACATTCCAGTATACCCTGGGTTACAGTAACATTCCAGTATACCCATGGCTGACAGTAACATTCCAGTATACCCTGGGTTACAGTAACATTCCAGTATACCCTGGGTTACAGTAACATTCCAGTATACCCTGGGTTACAGTAACATTCCAGTATACCCTGGGTTACAGTAACATTCCAGTATACCCATGGCTGACAGTAACATTCCAGTATACCCTGGGTTACAGTAACATTCCAGTATACCCATGGCCGACAGTAACATTCCAGTATACCCTGGGTTACAGTAACATTCCAGTATATTCATGGTTGACAGTAACATTCCAGTATATTCATGGTTGACAGTAACATTCCAGTATACCCATGGCTGACAGTAACATTCCAGTATACCCTGGGTTACAGTAACATTCCAGTATACCCATGGCTGACAGTAACATTCCAGTATACCCTGGGTTACAGTAACATTCCAGTATATTCATGGCTGACAGTAACATTCCAGTATATTCATGGCTGAGAGAAACATTCAAATAAACTCAGGGCTGACAGTAACATTCAAATATACTCATGTCTGACAGTAACATTCTAGTATACTCATGGCTGACAGTAACATTTCAGTATACCCATGGCTGACAGTAACATTCCAGTATACCCTGGGTTACAGTAACATTCCAGTATATTCATGGCTGACAGTAACATTCCAGTATATTCATGGCTGAGAGAAACATTCAAATAAACTCAGGGCTGACAGTAACATTCAAATATACTCATGTCTGACAGTAACATTCTAGTATACTCATGGCTGACAGTAACATTTCAGTATACCCATGGCTGACAGTAACATTCCAGTATACCCTGGGTTACAGTAACATTCCAGTATACCCATGGCTGACAGTAACATTCCAGTATACCCTGGGTTACAGTAACATTCCAGTATACCCATGGCTGACAGTAACATTCCAGTATACCCTGGGTTACAGTAACATTCCAGTATACCCATGGCTGACAGTAACATTCCAGTATACCCATGGCTGACAGTATCAGCAATGATCCACTCCTGGGTAGAGTGCGTCTATGTCTGTCTCCATTGACTCACCTTCTTCTTTGCGGCTTCCTCCTGGCTGAGCTTCTTTGCTTCCTCTTTCATCACCTCCTGTCTCTTCAGCTCTACTTCAAACACCTCCTTCTCTTTCACCAACTCATCTGCGTCTTCTCCTTCCTGCCAACACACATTACAACACAAAACATTACACAACACACATTACACAACATACGTCATTACACAACACACATTTCAACACAAAACATTACACAACATACGTCATTACACAACACACATTTCAACACAAAACATTACACAACATACGTCATTACACAACACACATTTCAACACAAAACATTACACAACATACGTCATTACACAACACACATTTCAACACAAAACATTACACAACATACGTCATTACACAACACACATTTCAACACAAAACATTACACAACATACCTCATTACACAACACACATTTCAACACAAAACATTACACAACATACGTCATTACACAACACACATTTCAACACAAAACATTACACAACATACGTCATTACACAACACACATTTCAACACAAAACATTACACAACATACGTCATTACACAACACACATTTCAACACAAAACATTACACAACATACGTCATTACACAACACACATTTCAACACAAAACATTACACAACATACGTCATTACACAACACACATTTCAACACAAAACATTACACAACATACCTCATTACACAACACACATTTCAACACAAAACATTACACAACATACCTCATTACACAACACACATTTCAACACAAAACATTACACAACATACGTCATTACACAACACACATTTCAACACAAAACATTACACAACATACCTCATTACACAACACACATTTCAACACAAAACATTACACAACATACCTCATTACACAACACACATTTCAACACAAAACATTACACAACATACGTCATTACACAACACACATTTCAACACAAAACATTACACAACATACGTCATTACACAATACACATTTCAACACAAAACATTACACAACATACATGTCATTACTAAACACTATTTTCAATACATTTGGATATTTCTTCACGATGACAGCTAGTTTCTCAGGTTTCAGTATTAGCTATCAGTAGGGTGAGTTAACTCAGCAGCAGTAGAAATTGGCACTAGTCCTATAGTCCTGGCCAAACTGCCCAATAGCTATGGTATCATAAGGACAAGCAGAAATTTGCCATTTTAGGGTTTTGCTATATGTTATCATTATGAGGACTAGGGGACAAACAATGTTAGCTTCTGCTGCAGACTCAGCTACTCGGGTCAGGTGGGTACTGAGTGGGACCCGGGTAGCCACAGGACTACCCGGACCCCTGGTTATATTTTTCAATGAAAAAAATAACTATAACTCCATGGTAACACTACAAGTCACTGATGTCCGCATTTCTTTTTGCCTATATGCGCATCCCTTCCAACTTATACAGAGGTCGATTTAACTACTGGCACTTTTGTCCATGGCCAGTTAAAATTACGAAAGGCTTGCTGAAACGTAAAGTAGATGATGTCACGCCTGGCTAATCAAAATTTCACCCCTTTAATTTTTTAAACTGGACACTGCTCATGAATCATGTTATTTTTATGAGAAAATATTTAAGGGAGATGAGGTTGTGTGAAAGGTTGCCTCAAAAATCATCTCTGTAGAATGACACAACTGGCAGCCATTTTGTAATGTTGCATACAACAACAACATCTATATTTGCTCATAAAATTGCCACTAAATGAGACAAATGGAAGCCAAGATTTAATCTCTGAGAGCAGGAACAAATGTTTCAGGGGTGAGGAGTTTTAAAATTTTCAGAGCCCCCTTGATTACTCAGATTCGGCCTCCAACATTCAATATTGGGACATTTTTAAGGGTCAGTAACTTTTGAAAAGAGCAAGCTCTGCTGGCTACATACAAATTCATTGTTACATTTCCCTCTGTTACATATGTTTGAATAAAGATAAGGCTTCCGTCAACTTCAACTTCAGTGCATGCATGATCAGATCGTTTAATACATGTATCTACCATCAATACTTCTGCAAGGGCTCCAGCAATACAATTCCCAATCAGACATTGTGAACCAAACTTAAGACCTACAGCGGGTGCCTTGGTAGGGTTGAGTGATAAGGAGTCTTGCAGTAAATGCGGACTTGTCCCAGGCCTAGTTATCAGCCCTGGAGCAAGCAAACCAACAGGTGACCAGTGGTAGCAAACAAAGGGTTTGAGTGCTGGTGTTCTTGAGGTTGTCTTCTGAGGAACACCTAAATATTTTATTTTCTACATTAGGGTTATGGAAGTAGCCAATGACTTTGGGACAGTTTTACCAGTCCCAACAGAGGTACGTAGTTTCTGTTTGTTTGTTGTTTAACACCACACTCAGTAATATTCAAGCAAAATGATGCCAGTCTGTAAAGAATCAAGTCTGGACCAGACAATCCAGTGATTGACATCATGAGCATCGATTTAAGCAATTGGGATACTATAACATGCATCAACCAAGTTAGCGAGTCTGACCCCCCGATCCTGTTACTTGCCTCTTACAACAAACATCTGAAGACAAAATCTAACCCAGATCTTCAAGTAAGAGAAACACAAACTTTATTAAAATTGTCACATTTTATTTTGAATTTGGTTTCTAGTGCAATTAGAATGGCTCCTAACATATTCTTTTGGCTTGCTGAAAATTAATATCAGACTCTGATTCTGGACAATGCCAGCCATGGCATTCAAACAAAACAACTGTACTTGTCTTCTACCTCAAGTTCCACATTGGCAACACCTCACAGTCACACGAGGCACAATGGCTATTCCTAGGTTTGTCTTGATAGGCAAAGAACGGGCAGACTCTCCTTATAACAGCTAATTTGGCAAACAAAACCCTATTTTAGTTGCCTGGGACCTGTTCTTTTCGAGAAATATTGGAAATTTTCCCATAAATTGTATACTTATGTATCTCACACTATACATTTCCTCTTTCTTCTTCAATCCTATGTGGAAACATGCTTGAACAAAGTTTCCAGCTTCTAAAATGCAATACACCCGAACACATCCTAGCATCACCATCATGTAATCCTGTGCATAGCAACCTACATGACCTGATCATGTGCTTACCCCTGCCACATTATTCTCTTTCATCAGAGCTAACATGCTAGAGGACGTGTGATGTGGGGATGATTTGGTGGGAATATCGTTTGTCAGATAGGATAAGTTTATAAATATACAATTTATTGGAAACTTTCCAAATTTCTAAACTTATCCTGTCTCACACTATGCATTTATCCCATGATAAATAAAAAAAACCATTTAAAACACTGCCTAGTGTCATCAACGACAATAACTCCTGAGCGGGAAAACACACCATACCTGGTGATACGATCCCGATGCGCTTGTCGGACCTAACAGCATGAGATCGGGTATAACATGTGGAACGTGTTTTCACATAGGTGATAATCATACGAATGTGACCGATCCCGACAATGGTAGATATCCACATAACTAGAGGGAGGGGAGCGATCGGAGGAGTGTCCAGCCAAAACCGAGTAATAACATCAGGAATAACTCTGGATGAGCGGTAGTAGAATGTGACAATTTTGTAGAATTCTTGCATGATCGTCAAACCATAGCCAGTCGATCATGAGAACGCAGATCCGGAGAAAGTCAATCCTTGGAACATCAATCATGTGAGTGCCGATCCTGAGAGCGATCAACCGAACCCGTATGTCGATTTTGAGAAAGTTGTTACCGAGTGTACCGATCGAGAAAAAGTTGATCCTGCGAAAGTCGACCCTTTGAACATCGATCTTGAGAGTGCCAATCCCAAGGAGTGACCAGTCAAATCTGTATGCTGATCTTTCGAATGCTGAGCCCACCTCTTTGAGCAGTCTTTAAAGCAACAACGGGTGTAGAGGATCCTTCTTACTCATTTCCCTTGATGTAGATTGTTATTACTACACTATCCAAGAAACAAAACAAAATGTATTCGCCAACACTTATGATACACGTCTCCACAGTGGCGATGAGAAAGAGAATGATGTGGAAGGGGTAGGCATGTGATCAGGTCGTATAGGTTGCTATACATGGGATAACATGCATGACCCATTTGTTTGGGTGGTGACCATGGTGATCCTGGGATGTGTTTGGATGAATTGTTTATAAGAAGCTCAAAACTTTGTTCAAGCACGTTTCCAGGTAGGATTGAAGAGGAAAGAAGAAAAGCATAGTGTGAGATTTGACAAGTCTAAACATTTGATTTTTCATTGTTTCCCTAATAATTCAGTTTGCGGTTGGCATCTACAATATGGCAATTCCTGCTCCAACATGGAAAATAAATTATTTTATTCAAATTTAAGCTACACGGTCCATCCACACAGCACTGTCACTAACAGGTACTCACCTTCTTGTGAAGTCGCTCGTTCTCTATCTGTTTATACAGCCAATGTGCGATGTATTCTATGGGGTCAGCAGGTCGCTTCTCAGCTACCTCTGTGAGACATGTCACCAAACAATCCCCAACATGCTTCTTCAGGTAGGCTGCTTCCATTGCCATGGTAACGACTTTTTGCCTTTATCCTACAAAATCATAAAATATATATGAAGAAAAACATATTTACTCAAACTGACCAGTGGTAGAAACTAACAGTTTCAGTCCACTAGTCCTTATAATGATAACATATAACCAAACCTTTAAAAATGGCTAATTTCTACTAGTCCTTAGGATACCTTTACTATTAGGCAGTTTGGCAAGGACTACAGGACTACTAGTGCCAGTTTCCAACCCTGCTGACAGTCAGGGCTCGATTTGAGAAACTTAATTTAATTTGCACCAGGTGCATGTTGACATGAAAACCAAGTTGCAACAAACAAAACCAGGCTGCACCCATACATTTATCAAAGTTGAAACATAGTCCGGTCTGCTGCCAGGGTCACAGACATTAGGCCTAGTGACGCATTGCTGTAAAACGTAACAGGAATATGTGCACATCATCTTGAAGTACCCACAGTTTGATGCAGTGAAGCCTAAGATGGCATAACAAATTACACATAACACAGGGATTAGTGATGTAGTATGATAAATAAACTTTATAGGGTGTTGAGTGTGTTCAAAGATCGGTGTTATGTGTGGACAAGCATAGCTGTCAACCCCTGGATGTCTAAATGAGTGAGAAGCCAGACCATTTTAATGGCCTTAGAGAGCATGTATTCTGAAATAACAACAAGTAACTGCGCGAAAGGGGAAAGAATGAACCCAGTCTCGTCGTGTTAGTTGCGATCGCGATAATCGAAAGAGAAAAGCTTTTCAAAATATTTTTATCTACATTTTATATGAATGCGTGAGAATTTCCCAACCTTGCGTGTGAGCGTGACATAGGTGATAAATGCGTGAGACTCACGCGAGATGCGTGAGAGTTGACAGGTATGGAGAAGTAAGGGTTAGACCCAAATTTGAATTTTATTTACATAAACTTGGTGCATGTAGAGATAAATATTAAGTTGCATTTTTAAATAATGGGTTGCACGTTTTATAAAGCTTATTCAAACCCTGACAGTACACATGCTTGTTTGTCTAAATGATTTAGGCCTATAGAGGACTTATTATAAGATGTGAAACTTGGTGAAATATTTATGATTATTCAAAAGCAATCAAATAAAATGTTCCGGTAGAATGAGAGAGTCAATAGAACCTTTTGTTGAAAGATGCCAGACAACTACAGGTCTGCATATAGATTTTAATACATCAATTGTAGTGTAAAATTCCAAACAGCATAGTCTTTAGGCCTATCGTTGATACGCCAACCGACGTACATGCCATAATGAAAGCACACACACACTGTTATTTTAGCGAGGCCCCTAAAACGCTCAAGAGTACAAAATAAAACATAAGGACAGGCAAAAAGCATCCTAACCATACATATTACCAGCCCTATTCAACCGTTTCTCTTATCAACGCGCTGCTACATTCACAACATGCTGCTATTTTCGTGATAGATCAAGATGTTTATTATTTACTAACAGTAACGCGCTGAAACGATGCGTCCAAAACCTTCCTATTTTCGGTCTGATGCACCCTAGCAGCGTTACATACTTTGTCTAAATCTTAAAATACACCATACTTACGTATTACGTCCCAGAAATGTTACAATATGTGTTAACAAAGAGATGTTAAAATCTAAAATGTCACACTATTTTCTCCCAGCCTCGTTATCGAAACCGGTAATCGCTTCCTTAGCTACGGTCACGTGACGTCGTTGCTATCTCGCTGGGGTCTGTCCTCGGTTCACCGTGTCGTGATATAGAAGCCTTCTCAGAAGGGGAGCCGCTCAAAGGTTCCACATAAATCCAACAATGAGCGCGCGACAAAATGGTGTTCCGTCGGGAAACAGCTCTAATGGGCCACCCATACATTGGCCTAACCCAAGAATGCTTTTTACAGGTGAGTTAGGTATTTTCAATCATACAATTAGGAAAAATTATGTTAAAACACTTATGATTACTAACAATATTTGCTATACATTTTAAAACAGTCCTTAAGGATGTCAATCTTTATCAATTGCGATAACACGAACCACCTACACGAATGTTGTTTATTCTATCATTAAGGTATATGGATCTAATATATATATATATATATATTAATTATTGAATTAGGAAATACAAAGTATACAATAAAAACAAAGTCATAAACCTTTACAAAACAACGTCGTTCAGGGAAAAAATAAGGTATTGACTACATAAGTATTCCAATATCCACATCACGTTAAAAGTAAACGTGTCAGGCATAATTACCCAAAGCTTATCAATTTCATACACATGTCAACAGTTGGTATTTCCAATGTCAAGTTGATATTTATATCTTATATCTCGAGTACACTATTAAAATCAACGGAAAAACACCTTTCTTCAAATAGTGTCTCCAAGTCAATAGAAAGAATATGTAAGTGATATATGCATGCATTATTAATAACGCGAGGAGAGAGACAGCAATATAACGAGAGACTGAAACATACATGCACATTCCATAGGAACAAGCTTCGTGTCTTATCGATCGCAAGCCTTTTTACGACATCTTACATTAACCCTGTACATGTGATAAAGTGACTACATAATATGTATATGTTCCCGTTATGTTGTCTTGTTTATGTTTTGAGTTCAAGCTCCAGTCGAACGAAACCGATAGTCAATAATACGCCAGCGTGTGTTGTGAGTGGACATCTGTCCAATTCGAGGGCTTTTCTTGATCTGAGCGACATTCGTAATCCTTATCTGTTTGCTAAAGTCTCGCAACGAGCAATAGTAAACCAACAAATCTAATTCTCAAATACCAGTACTCATATTTGTTGTTAATATTATTAATTATAATATTCAGTTTATCGGTTTACATTATATATATATATATATATATATATATATATATATATATATATATATATATATATATATATATTACATTTCTTATCACCGTCTGGAGAAGAATTTTCTTCAACGTATCGAGGCTCCGTTGCCAAAACCCCATGCATTCAGTAGACGTAACCTGGACCCACCTGAGGTTTAATGTGTGAATTGTTCAAGTTAGTGGGTAGATTATCTCGAGATAAAACTAAGGCTTAAAGAATAGCACTCGATAAATCCCGCCATGATTTATGAACGCTTAATTTCTCCTACAGTGTAAAGAACAAGCCACTAGACTAAAGCGATTACGTATCGGAGACCTTTCTCTGAATAAAGGTTATGAACGCCTCGGCGATATACCTCTCTTAATCCGTGGGGGTTTCTTTTCTTAGCAGATTTCGTGTTGGGTCGACATGTCATACTATATAGGGTTATAGTGCTTCGTTTATCAGAGCAATAATCTTAAATTACTTAAAAATGATTGCGTTGTGGTATTAAAATCGTTTTTGAAGTTTATACTTCACACGCGACTGACTGATATTATGAAGAAATCGGCACACACTGAGACAAAGACGGGTGTGTGTGTGTGTGTGTGGGGGGGGGGGGGGGGGGGGGGGGCAGAGAGAAAGAGAGACAGGGAGAGGGATAAAGAGGGTGGGGGCGAAGAGAGAGAGACAGAGAAAGAGAGTGATGGGACGGAGAGAGGGGAAGAGTGAGAGAGAGGTTGACCATTGTTTTCTTATGGGAATGTTAAACGGAGTATTTGCTGTGTGTATAATGACGTCGTTTTCAGTCGTTAATGCTACTTCTAAGGATGTGTTTGTTCACTCATTAAATATGGAACAAGATTAAGAAATGAGTATGTATCAAGGGGTAATTCTTCATTGATTACTGCATCAACGCGCGAATATATGCAATATACATGACCAGCAAATACACGATGCCTACATCAATAGCTCTGAATTATTTCGTGATCATTGACCTACAAACCTCATAGACTTTCTTCACCATGGATTCAATAACCGTCAAAACCAATAAATCCTGCCTCAGACAAAATGGGGACAAAGGGGCTGTATACAAAAGAAACATGTACCTCCTAATAAGGTCGTGTACATGACTATATGCAGCTCACGCCGCTTTCATAGAGTAGATGTACTTATGAGTTTTTGCAGTTTTAGATTTCTATATGAGTGGGTTATTTCAGCGTTCATGACCGGGACTCATGTGAAGGGTTTGGGGAAGTCGAGTGGGAAATACAAAGGCACTTTCATAAATCGTGTGAGTTGTAAATAATTGAGTCTAGACCAGACAATCCTGTGATTGACATCATGAGCATCGATCCACGCAATTGGGATACGATGACATGCATCAACTCAGTCAGCAAGCCTGACCACCGATCCCGTTAGTCGCCTCTTACGACAATCATAGTCGCCTTTTACGACAAGCATGGGTTGCTGAAGACCTATTCTACCTCGGATCTTCACGTGTCTTGTGATATGTATAGACTCACATATTAACATTCATTTCCAAGTTTTAGTTTTCAACAGCTGTCAATGAAAACAGTGTGTGTCTACAAGGCATATGTTGGTGTAGTTATCGTTACCTTATCAGACCACCTTATAAGATCAGGCATTAGCACCCTGTTGCTATATAACACATGTGTGTAAGTACATTGAATCCCCCGAGCTTCCTACTGTTCAGTGCATTCATTCAGCACACTGCTGATTCGCGATATTGTTTTCCCTTATTGTACTGGGTCATCGATTTCCGCCCACAAAACAAGCCAAAAGAATTACACACGTTGATATCTGAATAAAACATATGACATGCACGCTACAATGGCGCTGGTAACTGACATATTGCTTGCCGTCTGAACGTTTGACTGGTTTCTTGTAACCCCAAGCCTTTAGGGAGGCTTACCTCTAGCTCGGTACATACAAACAGGAGATAGTCGACAGGTCCGGTACACACAGACAGGAGATAGTACACAGGCCCGGTACACACAAACAGGAGATAGTCCACAGGCCCGGTACACACAGACAGGAGATAGTCCACAGGTCCGGTACACACAGACAGGAGATAGTCCACAGGCCCGGTACACACAAACAGGAGACAGACATCAGACCCGGTACACACAAACAGGAGATGGTCCCCAGGCCCGATGTACACAAACATGTGACAGTCCCCCGGCCCGGTACACACAAACAAGAAACAGTTCCCAGGTCCGGTACACACAAACAAGAGACAGTCCCAAGGCCGGTACACACAAACAGGTGGTAGTCCCCGTACCCAGTACACACAGACAGGAGTTAGTCCACGATGTACACAAACATGTGACAGTCCCCAGGCCCAGTACATACAAACAGGAGATAGTCCCCAGGCCCGGTACACACAACAGGAGGTAATCCCCATGCCCAGTACACACAAACAGGAGGTAGTCCCCAGGCCCGGTACATACAACAGGAGGTAATCCCCATGCCCAGTGCACACAAACAGGAGGTAGTCCCCAGGCCCGATGTACACAAACATGTGACAGTCCCCAGGCCCAGTTCATACAAACAGGACGTAGTCCACAGGCCCGATATACATAAACATGTGACAGTCTCGAGGCCCGGTACACACAAACAGGAGGTAGTTCCCAGGCCCGATATACATAAACATATGACAGTCCCCAGGCCCGGTACACACAAACAGGAGACAGTCACACAAGCCGACGTCAACTATAACCTGTGACATATATACTGAACACAAAACGTGGGAACCCTGAGATATTGCTAAAACCGACGTTAAGTTAACTCTTCTAACGCTAGCACATAGGCTCAATGTGATGAGCAAGTCAGTATGGTCTTTCGCCGCTTTTAAATCCCTGCGTGCCAACGAGGGGCACCAATAACTGCCTTTGTACCACATGGAGGAGGATCAGTGTATTCTCTGTGGAAACCAAGCGCTTCAACAACTATGCGGCGGGTACTCGTGTTCTTAGGTTCAAGTGTGAGACTCCCCATTTCAGTTTAATCGTTGTGATGAAAAACTTGAAATAAACTGTTTGTTTTATGTTGCCATGGTATCTGGCAATGTAACTGATGAGGCGGTCGTCAATGGCTGCGACGTGCTCATGAGTTTACCCAAGGTGACACACGTCTATAGGTCGGGCACATTAGGCTTTCCTTGAACATTAAGCTGATCGTTATGTTATTGAAATACTGTTTAAGTGGCTTTAAACCCCACTTACTCACTCTCGATATATACTGCATCGTTATTGAATGGATGCACGAAGCGTGCAATATATCTTGCTGTCATCACGTTCTGTCTGAACTGCAGGAGGTAAGGTTATCAGAAGACTCCATGCGGAATAAACCCGAGTTGAATCATGATCTAGAAAATACAGCGAAGTAATATTTCAAATATAACAAACAATATTTGTTTAAGCTTTCAAGAAAAAATATTTTATTTCACATATTCATATTAGTTAAATATCTATGCATATTACATTTAACTCCGGGGTAGACTAGGTCTTCAGGAACCATTGCTTGCCGTAAAAGGCGACTATGCTTGTCGTAAGAGGCGACTAACGGGATCGGGTGGTCAGGCTCGATGACTTGGTTGATGCATGTCATCGTATTCCAATTGCGTGGATCGATGCTCATGATATCAGTCACTGGATTGTTTGGTCCAGACCCGATTATTTACAGACCGCTGTCACACAACTGGAATATTGTTAGTTAAACAACAAACAACAACAACTTTGAGTGACATGTTCATAAAAGTTCATGAATGTTTCTGGTAATTGCACGTGAATAGGCACCCCAGTCTTTACCCTAGTTAATCCAACCCATCCGAGACCGCCTCCGTGGCCTAGTGGTAGAGCGTCCGCCCGGAGAGCGGAAGGTCCGGGGTTCGATCCCCGGCCGCGTCATACCAAAAGACGTTTAAAGATGGTACTTGTTGTAACCCTGTCTGGCGCTCGGCATTAACGGGGTAAAACAAGGACTGGTCGGCTCGGAGTCAGTATACTGTGTCTGAGTGGGGTATTCATGTTAAATTGAGGCATGTTATCTCAGTGGGCTAGCACTATAAATCGGCATCAGTCCGGACTAGTACAAGCAGCCACACACAGGTGCATGCACGTCGCAATGTAAGTGCAATAATCTTGGACGCGACGTTAAACCCAATTTCACCTCACCTCACCTCAACTCGTCCGATACATGTTTGTAAACACGTAATTGTCTTAAGATCTTACTAAACTTGTGACAAGACTAATTGTGAGTCATCGTTCACCGAACGCTGATCGTTGCGCATGTAGTTAACCACTAATTTGCGTGACCCACTTTAAATTATTTACACATCGCCATGATACAGCCGGAATACATTGCTGACTCACACGATAGAAGATTCGTATTGCCTCCTTCTTCGGCGCCCCCACCTGAGGGAGAACAGGTTGACAACTCCCTAGTTTTCTATATTACTCTCTTTGTGCGGGGGAGAACAAACACCACATGCTGAAGACACTCCAGTGTGCATGTGGGCGATTACAGCAACAAGGAGTGGTAATTGATTTGTCAATATATTTGCAAATAAAGAGCAGCAAAAGAGCAGATCGCCCTGGTGCACTCTATGCGTAGTTGGTCGGCGTGACAAATACGTTGGTGTCAATCTGATATCGATTACATGGTGAAAATAGGTTCGATCACTAAACATAAGATACGTGTTTCTTACCACCTCTGATACTTTACCATGGTAACGTATTCGTGCTGCAAAAACTATAACAGGACGCATCCTGTAAAGATGACAATGCTAAATCTGTCACGTTTTATTTCCCCTAAACCTAGGTCCCTCATACCTCGTTAAATCAACTGGGCCGCCTTCGTGGCCTAGTGGTAGAGGGTCCACCCGGAGAGCGGAAGGTCCGGGGTTCGATCCCCGGCCGCGTCATACCAAAAGACGTTAAAAGATCGTACTTGTTGTTACCTTATCTGGCTGGACATTAGGGGCTAAAACAAGGACTGGTCGGCTCGGAGTCAGTATACTGTGTCTGAGTTGCGTATTCATGTTAAACTGTGGCATGGTATCTCAGACAAGTACAAGCAGCCACACACGCGCGCGCGCTTTATAAGTGCAGGAATTTTGGCCGCGACGTTAAACCCCTTTTCACCTCACCTCACCGTTAAATCATCCACCATTATAACCATCCATGGGTCCTTCAGAATTCGTTTCCATTTTACATTATTCAATCCTGCTTTAGTAGTAATCTGCCGGGTCGATATATCAGGTCTGTGACATCAACATGCATGATGATTCACCTCACGTAGCCCAAGTAGACAGTGTCCAGTACGGATGGATGGACGAATAGTTAGTTTGTGATTGTAGGTTATAAATGTTTTGATACTCACTGTTGAGTACAGTAATATATACATTGTACATTAAACACATGATACACATGTCATTCTCGTACTTATTATATTTACATTACATTTAATTTCATGTCGACGCTTGTTTCGAACTGCTCTGTACTGCACTTCACTGCGCAGCGTTGCACTGAACTACATATTAACATTAAACCTCTTGTTAGACGAGGGGCGGTCGGGTAGCCTAGTGGTTAAAGCGTTCGCTCGTCACGCCGAATACCTGGGTTCGATTCCCGATATGGGTACAATGTGTAAAGCCCATTTCTGGTGTCCCCCGCCGTGATATTGCTGGAATATTGCTAAAAGCGGCGTAAAACCGTACTCACTCACTCACTCTTGTTAGACGAACACGGTCGCCTGCTTGAAGCACCAGTCGAGGGAGTGAAACACAAAGGCTGTGACGCGTGATCGAACTATCGATGAATTGAGACTGCCCATGGTCCGATGGCAATACATCGATGAAGTGTTAAAATATCAATAGTTAACACCAATGCAGCGCTAGACTATCGATGGTTTCGACAGACGTAATACAGTGTAAAAGAAATACTGTTAACAAGTTACTTTTCCATTCGCTTTTATCCAAAATACACATTACACGTGGGTATCCATTCAGAAAGTAGCACCGCTCTCACTTTCCTACGACTTCCCTAGCAGACTGCTGACCCTTGCTGGCTGTATTAGGCTTCAGTCGACGTGCTGACTAATTCAAGTAAGCTACCTCGTAGACCAGGTACATTTTCTCTTGAAACTCTTGTACCAAAATGGCAATAATATCGCGGTAGTGTTTTAACCTTCTCGCAAACACATTGTGTCATCACTGATATTCAATGATCCATCCATATACTTTTCATCACAATTTGGCATTTTTCAGTCAATAAAATCTGTGTTTCTGTGGATAATCGAGACTGGTTATTCTCTGTCGTTTAATATTTAAATATCGCACTACTACTGGAACAACACAAATGCCCTCGATAGTCACCCCCGACCATTTGCATACATACTTGCTTCTAAATTTGGTCCATCTTCACAAACGTATTTAATCAATTGCTGATTAAATGTTACCGCAGCTGCGGATTATCCGTTAGTCTTTGGTGAAGGTCATCACATTTGGGCGGACATGCCGAGCAATAGAGCACACACTACCTTCTTTAGTCCACCTCCAAGACCCTAGAGAATAAATTAAAAAGGAGACCAACTCAAGTCTAGAATGATTGACCAAATCTAGATGCTAGAGCATATCAGCTTTTATGGATAGCAACTTATTTTATTGTTTGTCACGACAAGGAATAAAAGAAGCTGCTATCCATAAAATGTATTCATGTTCTTCCATCTTCCAAATGCATATCAAGGACTTCATCTCTAGGATATTAGCCATTGTTCTAGGCTCCAATTGCGTTATATATTTTTGTTATTTTGTAGGTTTATATTTTTAGATAACTTTATTTCTGGTACATAACGTTAGCCTATACCTTCCTCACTGCTGTTCCCCAGGGCCCGACTATAACAGGGACCACCGCGTCACTGTGCAGCCAGAGAACCGGATGGTGGGAATAGGGACCATGTCCAAGGAGGGGACCAGCGAGTCGGACTACCTGTGGCGGGCCGCACCCAGGACCCCCTACCCCCGCTCCAAGACCACCATGGTGGGGGGGATAGGCTGGGGGATTCAGGAGTTTACGGACTGGTCCTTGCCTATCACGGGGAGACAGGTCATGGTGAGTTGTTGCATTGGGTGGAGTTTGAACTGGAATATCAGCTACAGTAAACTAGGTTTATAACGAACACGTTTATACCGAACTGGCGGATATAACGAACTGTTTTTGGGACCCGTCCATTTGCTGTATATAGGGTGTTTATGTGCCTATAACGAACTACGGTTATAACGAACTAAAATTAGTGGTCCCTTTGAGTTCGTTATAACCGTAGTTTACTGTATTTAGATTTGGGTTTAAGATACGTTCAGTCACTAGCATATAAGATATATTTATAGTTATAAGAATTGAACGACCGCTTTGAGTTATTTTGACCTTGGGTGGACAATAAGTTAGAGTGAGTGAGTGTGTTTTACGCCGCTTTTAGCAATATTCCAGCAATATCACGGCCGGGGACACATGGGCTTCACACATTGTACCCATGTCGGGAATCGAAGCCGGGTCTTTGGCGTGACGAGCGAACACTTGACCACTAGGCTACCCGACCGTCCCGACAAGTTAGAGGCTTCAGTATATTATATAATTCATAAAGTCTTTACATTGTGAAACAGATAAAGTGATAATTTAGAGGAGCCTTACTCAAATGATGATACAGTCATGGAAAGACATATACAAATTCCTTTTCATTCGTGTGTATATTGAAAGCAGAACGCTATAGCCACATAAATTCCAAGATGGCTACCTAATTTCAAGATGGCTGACAATTGCATGAATAATTATCTGAGATGTGTTCATTGCTTGTGACTAATTCCGAATGCATAACCCGTCGCCCTGACGATGTAGCCTTATCTGTTGAGCTGGAACCATGTAGAATATATTGATACTAAACGCTCTTCGTATGATTTCTACCTGAAGATATACAGCTGAAACCATATAGACTTAATACTATACGGTCTGAATATGATTTCTCTTCATTTATTCCTCAGATGGGAGAATTCCGACAGGAACTCGAAAACAGTCATTCGCACAAGTACCAAAACCCATGGTAAGTTCCAGCGAGATACAGACATGTGGGGGCACTTTCACTCGACCTCGATAGAGGCACACGAAGTCGACAGTCGTACGTTATCGTTAGTCTTCTTGAGAAATATGAGAAGAAGTATACATATATATTTCTTCTTCCAGCAAAACACTGTACATTATGTCGATAGATTTCTCAAAAAAACTAACGTAAACGTACGACTGTCGACCTCATGTGCCTCTATTGAGGTCGAGTGAAAGTGCCCCTCCCTACTCAACCTGGACAGCAAACACTTCACTGTCCTGAACAGGGTTAGATAACCCTGTCTCTATTGTCTTTCGGATCATGAGTGGTAACACGTAATTGACATGTGATGTATACCATACGATACACCAAATCAATATCTAATGTCATTCCATCAACATCTTTGGTAAAAACGTCACTGACGATCTCTGATCGTTAAATTCCGAGTGGGTTAGTTGAGTTGGATTTAACGCCGCTTTTAAGAGTATTCCAGTTATATCACGGCGTGGCAGCTTAATGTGGGAGGAAAGCCCGAAGTGATGCAGGTTTCAGACGTTTACCGCTTTCGTGAAACCCACGAGCACGGGTATGGTGCTGACAAACCTAGATACATAATCGGGGCGAACCGGGATTCGAACCCACGAATACAGGTTTCTGGTGTGGCCAAGGGATGCAACTCACAGCGATGGTTATATACTGATCGGCATGTGTATACCAACTCGTAGGCCATGGCCCAATCAGAATTATCCGCTGAATTAACGGGTCTTTAATTAAAGTATAAATTTACTTCCAACATGTACGAATTGAGCGTCTAAATTATACATCACACTGAAGTGAGAACGGAGTACTCTAAGCTGTAATGACATTTAAGAAGCTTGTATTTAGGGACTCTATTGCAGTGAGTTGACTGGTGCGATGTTATTTATTAAGATAGTTGGCGTAGATTTTCCAGGTCAGTTTTCACGTTTGTCTTACACATTAGTTGGAGGCAAATAGTTCAAGTTTAAGGTCAAGCTATAGTATAGGGCCAGATTTAAGAGTGGGCGACACACGTTTTGTCAATCGTTCGAATCCTTAATTGTTTGTCTACCAACCCCAATTCTGTAATTAGAAATTATCTGGCAGTTAATGAATATATGAGACAATATGTCAGTTTCAGATATGGCAATCATTAAAATCCTGTAAAGTTATATCATTGGGTGTGTCTTGACCGAATCACCGGTAGATTCCAAGAAAACGTGTGTACAGCTGATTGCTGTGTCCGGCATAGTTTACGAGAAAATACACAAGGTAATCTTAATCCCTGGATATAAAACAATGCCTAGCTGAAGACAAAATACAATTTAAACGGTAAATCAACATGTCTGGTGATTTTTTATCTCAAATTTCAAATTTGTACTGACGAAGTTTCTCATCACCCGTTCGTTTGCCGGACTTCGCTGAAGGGGTACGGTGATTTTTTTTTCTGCGCATAATATTCAAATTTCTTTTTTTCCAAAATATTGAACCCGCTAGAGGGGGGTTGCGCATTATACATGGGTGCGCACTATACTCAAGAAAATACGGTACATCTAAACCTGGACATGGTCTAAAGACCGTGGATCATTATCCCACTTGGATTAATGTTTATCGTACAATAAAACACTGCATGGAGAATAAGCCACGAGAGACGCAGCCCCGAGTGGTTTATTCTCTCTGTAGTGTTTTATTGAACGATAAACAACGACCACGAGTCGTTTATTTCTCATATGACCATTATTTACAGCCTCTTTAAGGATGATGATAAAATGTACAAGCTTTAAAATATTTACCCGTATTTTAATAATGACTCCCTGGATAGAATCCTACCTCGGCAATGTCGGACAAGTCCATTTTATGCAGAGGGGGGTATTTCCTGGATATTCTCACAATCCTAATGGCGATTACCTGTACCTTTCGCCCGATACCGACTGTCATATCTCTCCCGCTTTTGAATGCGATCGTTCAGTCATCGCCTTTATCCGCATTGCACAGCTACATCTAAACACTCCCCTCTAAAAAATAACGTCGTCCAATTCACGACGTCATCAAGTTGCGAGCGCATGTTCGAATCTCCAAAAATATCGTCATGACAGAACAACGTTTTATCGTGAAACAAACCACACACATCTTAATCTATAAATGCATGCATGTGGACATTCCCCGGTCGATCCATCTACCTCCATGTATACTTTTTTTCTACCCCAGGTATCCGGGGCCCAATGATGAGGTGGACCCCAACTCGGACGAGGCCATGGTGATGAACGTGTACAAGCGTCGCCCGGCCACGACAGTGCCGCAGCCATCAGGTACATGTTCACGTCCCTGGCGTCACAGAGGACGCACGCCGGCAGCCACGCCCTTGTACACAGTCAACACATTCACCGTCACTACTTCGTCAGGTATCGTAGTGACGTCATCAGGTGCCACTGTGACGTCAAAGTAGCGTAGCTGCAAAGTAGTTGATGCTTGTGCTCTGTGGAATGGCTTTGCTACAATCATGCTTCTATTAACCTTTATAAATTTACTCTTTCTCTAAATTCATTTATTTGTATAAGTCATGTTATCAGATAACTTGACCATACCTTCTTTTCCCCGTGTGGGGTCTGCTTGTCATCTCTATTCTTACTTACCAATGAAATTTGCGCCTAATTTCAGCAAATGCATTATTTCTGCACTCTTTTCCTGCTCTGACTCTGCTTTGAATGTACCTTCTCAATCTCATTCCAATATATAACATTTCTGCCATAACTATCAATGGGCCGTTTCCACAAGCGATCTGAGTTACTCAACACTATCGGTAGCTACGGTACTTTAAAAAAAATATGCTTGTATTGTTAGCGAGCGGTTATTGCTTAACCCCGCATCAGCAATCGTTCAGGAGATTCTTTGAGAATAAAGATAACTATAATCGCATTTGCGGAACGTGACCAATATATATCCAATGTCCTTCTTAGTGTCCAACCATTTGATATTCTTCGGATGCGGGGGGTCGGAGTTGGGGTTGGGGTGGAGTGGGGGTGTGTGAGACTGTTTCAGACTGTTTAATATACAACGTGTGTGCCACAATAAAATACAAATAGGTTTAAAAAAAATATCAAGCTCATAACAATAAGTAGAAGAATATCTGGTTTTGAAGTTGTAGCTTAGTGTGTCTCCAAACAAAATCCCAGTCTCCTCCCCCCCCCCCCCCCCCCCCCAAAAAAAGGGGGGGATATCAAATGGTCGTTCCCTTTGTCTCGTCTCGACTGTCATTCACTAACATATACTCTATATTCTTCTTCTTCTGTCATATTTCACTATCCATTGCTCTTTCTACCTAACATAAAACATAATTATATAATCAAATGGCGTAATTTCAAGAACAGTAAATGTACCTACTTCATGAACTTGTAAGATGCTTGTATGTTCTTTAATCCTGGAGTGGTTCTGCACATGTAGGCACCAAGGCCGCCCCCACGTCAGATGTCCCCCCGGAGAGTCAACCAGTTAAAGCATATTAGGAAGAAGGTCAGTTGGCTGTCATGTATGTGTTTGTATATCTCCAGTATATCATGGATATCCACCACATCACCGGAAGCTGGCGTATATATGTTCCATCGGTTTATATACCACATACACTTCCGATTACTGACCAACAGCGCTGACTTGGTTGATGCATGTCGTCGTATACCAATTGCTTGCATCGATGCTCATGACGTCAATCGCTGGCTTAAGACAGTCTTAGTCTACAGTCGCGTTTGGAAATTGGACTCGCTGACCTGGTTGGTTGCGTGTCATCGAACCCCGACTTGTTATTTACAGGCCGCAGTCATATAACTGCAGCGGAAAACAACAAACAAACAAACAAAACAAACAACACACAAATGTTGTGATTATCGATCGTCTGTCAGGATCCCTAGGTCTCGATGATGTGAAAAAAAGATTGCATTCCATTAATACTACGTTAGTTGTAAAACTTGGCTTGCCTTTGCATGTGTTCGTGACGGGAGCCACTGGTAGGGCAGGATAGGCTCACCTTTTCGCGACCACCTGGTATCACTAATTAATAGTGATTCATAAGCAGGAGCCTCTGGATAAAGTCGGAATCGTACAATCTATGATGCTTTAAATTGTTTGATAGGCATTACTTAGAACTTGCATGACAGGATGACAAAGTGGATGTTATCCATAATTGTGTCTACTTTGACTGTGCTATGAGCAGAGATTTCTTATAAATAGAGAATGGGTTGTGTTCATCATCATCATCATTATCATTATTATTCAATATATTTCTTTCCAGTATAAAGTCATCTTTACCAGAGCCCTGCCAGGGAAGGTGCAATAGACAACGAAATCAACATAAAACAGCTGGTGCTCATACCAAGATGTACATTTCACAGGGCGTTCCTAGTTACCAACTTGATCTTGTTGGATCATGCAAAACAAAGTCTATATTTTTTTGTAAATGACTGTATATTGCTGTCATGGTAAATGCATTAGTGTCATTTAGCCGGGTGTATTTGTAACCTTATCAAAACAATGAAATGATTAACCGACAGTAACACGTGATAACTTTTCGTTTACTTTGTTAAAATGCCTATCTTGTTAGGAACATCCTGAAATGACTATTGAATTTTAATGAAAAGGTACTGCATATGGAAGCACCAATAATATAATCCTTTAAATAAGCAAAGGTAATATTTGTAACAGGGTATTTGTTCTATTTAGAAAAAGAGAATTGTCATAAAATCCCAAATGGAAATTATTTGTTCAAGTAGTGGTGAGTTAGATTTGAATATCCTTTGTCGATGTTATGACTTTATTTATTGTTATAATGTACCAATGTTTTCATGACTTTACCAGTCAGTATTATTTTCAACAATCTCAACTTGACATAATCAGTTTCTTATTCTGACATGTCAGACTGGATTCTAATTTATTTATTTACCTTTCCAATTAATCTCTGCTGTTTTTGTAAATAAATGTTCTGACTTCTGTAAAATCTTTTGTATCTTCCAAATGCATAATTCCAGTGAAACCTGGTGTTGGTGTCTGTCTACTGGGAAATCATGGTAGCCACTGACATCTGCAAACAAGCATCAGTATAGAACACTCTATGTTACCATGGTGATATATGTTCATGGTTTTGTAAGGCAAGGCTGAACAATTTATTCAGTGAGTGAGTTAGTTAGTTTTAACGCCGATTTTTACATTATTCCATTTATATCACGGTGTGTCAGCTTAATGTGGGAGGAAAGCCCGAAATGATGCAGGTCTCAGACGTTTACCACTTCGGTGAAACCCACGAGCACGGGCATGGTGCTGACAAACCTAGAAACATAATCGGGACGAACCGGGATTCGAACCCACAATCATAGGTTTCTGGCGTGCCTGGACGCAACTCTGCACAGGGAATTGCGGCACCTTAGACGACTGGGCCACCCGTGCCCGAACAATTTATTCAGACCTGTGGTCCTCAATAGATTACAGAATCGGTGAGTGATTTGGGTTTAATGCTGCTTTGAACTGCATGCCAGTCTATATCACAGTGGGTCTGCAGGCGAACCGATAGACTTGTAATCAGACTTATAGACCTCCATTGACGTCATCCTAATATGACACCGTATACGGCAACTAAAGACACCATAATGAATGTATTATGCAGAAAAGTTTACATTCTCTGGTATCCATATAAACTTGACACTTACAACCCTTCGTTGACGTTAATGGTCAAAAGGAGACTACTCCTCGAACCTTAGAGGCCAAACCTTGTTGCCAATTTTAACTATAATCTTTATCAATAAAGTCACGAACGTGATCTAAAACACAGATTAATGTCCTTGCACATCACAATTAATGATAGTAAAACACAAAACAGTGTCAAACAGTGTCATGTCAAATAACCAATTTCGGAACCAGAATTTTCATGTGAAATATGTGAGGTGGGTGTTGGAAAATCCAAGATGGCTGTTATACTCTTGGTTGGTTTGTTGTTTAACGCCGCACTCAGCAATATTCCAGCTATATGACGCCGGTCTGTAAATAATCGGGTCTGGACCAGACAATCCAGTGATTGATATCATGAGCATCGATCCACGCACCCGATCCCGCTGACTGTCTCATATTAGGTCAGTAACAACAATCTTGGATTTTTACTGACTACGAGATTAGTAGCTATGCTCTCTGATTGGCCAATCTCACTTTGAGGCATAATAAGAGCTCATATGGGTTATTAGTTCTGCTCTCTGATTGGTCAATCTCACTTTTAGGCATAATAAATGGATATGTGGATGTTGTGAGACTGCATCCATATGCATTAAGCATTTGATACAAAGAAGAAGACATTGCAGAAGGTGTATAAGGTTTTATTTTCAAGATTAATAATAAATTACAAATTCTAACAGACAAGTAATAGTAGAGATTGATTAATAACAAATGTGTTTAACGTGGGAGTCAGCATGTACTCTTAACATATATCACTCCTGTAGATAAAGATGCATAATAGAAGTAGGTAAAACATACACAGAAACTGACTACACTATAGGGTGAAAGTGACAGGCTATTAACAACATAAAAATGAAATTGACAATAGTTTACATGACCTGAAAATAAACTGCTCAGTAAAATACATACATGTCTGTGTGACCTGAAATGTCACAACACCATCAAATAAGACATGGTCCAAAGGATCACCAGTCCAATGGATCGCCAAGACAATGCACATGGCAGGTGATAATATTTATATTAATTTTTGTTGTTTTGGATTGCGATTTTTTATACCAAGAAAAATTGTGTTGTCTGGATTGTGGGACTGAAAAAAGGAAACACTGATTTGGGCATAAAAAAAATTGTATTCAAACGTTTCGAAGTGATCAAATATTTAGGAGTAGAAAATCATTTCTTGTCAAACTATACTGGCAGCCTCTTTAAACTGTAACAATTTACAGAAATACAAATACATGTCTCGAAAAATATTTGTGGACAAGTTATAAATTTTCCGCTGAACAAGCAACTCACCATTCTCAAACACACATAATTTTATTCATTCTAATTATTGCCAGTGTGCATCCAGACAAACATACAAGCCTCACACTGCGTTCGGATGTTGTGCTATGCCACTTGATAATACCACAATACTTCACTGGACGGGACAGTTGGAAACAAGAATCACGAGCACACTGTTCACATCTTTTACAATAATTACACAAGGATAACTCCAAAGGTTGCTGAAACAATGCTGCATCAATATATCCCTGATGTATATATATTTTCGCAATTCTATTACAGTGATCCCTTGCCACAACGCTACCTTAATAATTGATGAGCGTTATAGATCATCGATCAGCGATGTAACGAGGTGGAGTCGTTGGGGGTTGATGACCAACACAACAGTTCATGCTCTGCCTCCCTAACATGATCTACGGTGCACGTTTCCGAGTTTGAAAAAAAGATTAGAAAAGGAGGTGTTTATGATTCATTGTGTAAAAAATGATTTATCAAGTGTTGTTCGCTATAAAAAAACTCATTGTATATCTTCAGCTCTAAAACATCGCTAGACATGATGATGTACCATTTTAATAAAAAGTTTATCAAAAATGTAAATAAATTTTAGGAGCCATGCGTTACTGTGCGCTATAACCGAATTAGGGCTATATTGAAAGGCACAATAGCAAGGGAACACTATATCATGATTTCGTAATGAGGAGGTCTCATTGTTCTGTGTATGTCTTCACATGCCTTTCTCTTCAAAGCAGTTCATCTCATTTCAGGTGGTTAAGACAAAGGAAAGATAAAGCAGTTATGTAGATGATTAAAAGAAATGTGTTACCAGGCATGCAAGTCCATCACAATAAAACAGATGGGAAGGAATCATTTTTCTTCAAGTAAGAAAAACATCCTTTGATTTATGTGCCTCTTTTGCATATGAACATATTAGCAAAATAGATATTGATACTGGAATTGAGATCTCTAAGTGTCAAGGTTGTACCAAAAAAACATGGTACCTGTTGAAATAGATTTGATATTGATATTATATTGACAAGGTATTACTGACAGGTCAAGGGTTAACAAAAACAAACAACATTCAGATATTGACAAAGTAAATATTAAAACAGGCCCTTTATGTCTAGCTCAAGATATATTTCAACAGGACAGGAATTACATTGCTACATATTTCAGGATAATGATACTGGCTTGAACAGTAAAGACGAATGGCTGCAAGGCCAGGATATATATATATATATATATATATAGGTAATTGTTAAAGAAAGTACGTCAGATCAGTGTTATGCCTATACATGTTGTTGCAGTGATGCACCCAAATTTTCGTAAATGGATCCTGTTTGTCGTAACCTCCCAAACAGGGACCCTCTCACAAAGCAATGCTTAACCCAACTTAGACTTATGATAAGAATACTGCTAAGATACCTTTGTGTCACAGGGCCCCTGAGAGACAGGTGACATTCTGGTGATCCTCAAGAATACTCAGGAAAGTCATTTTATTTGTTTTTGTGGAAATATTCACCACATAGATTTCAGATTTACTTATAGAGATTAACTGACATGAGAGGCCATTCTGAATTATCCTCATCCCAACTGGGCTGATCCATGGCTTCCTCGGAGATAGTAAACAGGCTTTCAAAAACACACCAAAATTGGTATTATATCAATTGAAGAATGCAAAAGAATAAATTCCTGAGAATGGTACATACATTGATGACAAATGTAATCAGATAGGGCAACTCAAAGTAGTAAACCATTTTCTCATCGGTGCCAAACTTGCAGGAACCATTAATCATCAGTGCATCACTGTTATTGGCATCGGAACAGTCAGTTGGCAAACTGATCCCTAGGATTGTGATGGCGTGGATATGGACTCGGATCATGTAGGACCAAGATCTGTAGCAGATTCTCAGATCTGTGACATACTTCTATCTGTGGCAAAATCTTACCAAACTACGTCGAGAATTGAAATGAAAAATACAATATTAGATCTTGAATGAATATCATTCTCCAAACCCTTAAGGAAATTGATGCAAAAATTTGTAAAAGGTCTATCATAGTAAGAGTGAATCAACACAAATACACAGGCAGTATGGCTATGAGACATCAACAGTAGAACAGTGGGAATGACATCCTGTTTATAAGATGACTTCTCCGACAGGATCTCGTATAATAATTCCTGCCACAGATTAGCAACCCACCACAGATCGGAGTCCATGTACCTTTCAAAATTCATACCCTGCTTGTCATTTACTGAAACTCAAAACTAACTGTACATGAAGAGAGACTGATGGAGGACAGCTTAATATGAGTTCAAAGAGCAGTGAAGGCACTTTTATTATAGTAAAATGTGATGCATCATATTCTCCATAAGGAAGGTAATAGATTCTTATCTAATTGTTCATATTTGATACAGATGAACAATTACAGCTAGCTCACACCTGATCAGAAAACATTCATGGTTAAATAAATTGAATAAAATCGTTCTGGGTGAAATCACAAATACACATATAATTTGCATATGTTGGATACAAATTTAGACAAAAACATATAATTACACTACCAGCTAATTCTTCTGATCAGCCTCTGTAACTTACTGTGTATGTGGAACCATTACAGGAAGCACTCTAATCTCAACCTTGTTTAAAAACTATGACTTGTCTTAATATTACCCGAAGATTCTGGCTATGTTAGCCTGACTTAGTAAGATACTAGCACCTACGAATATTTGGATGTTCTTTTACCTATTGTGCAATCTGCAAGAAACTGTTGTTAGAAAAATTAATAATTATTTTTTCACTTATTACAATGCTGATTAAAAAGGAGGTACGTATATAGCACTATAATGTCAGCAATTGGTCACTGAACTTTCACAAAAACACACATACAGAATACATGCGTAATGGTCAACCATCAGCACTAAATTGGAAATATCAGCAGATATTGTTTTTGGTGTATGTTTTAACTGTCCTAAGCATATCATAGATAACTATAAACATTACGCAGGAATGAAATTACATACTCCTTGCATAATCAGACAAGCATAGACCGTGAAGGCTAAAATAAAGTGAGAGAAGCATTTCTGCTGTGTCAGCAACTATTAGTGAACCACTATCAAAATTCCTCATCAGTTGCAAATTATCGAATGTTCTAAGCACAATGGCCAGGCACTAGTGAGATTCCTATAAGAACTACCAGTAAAAAATCTTTAGTCTTGATTTTGACACCTTCACATTAACTGCTCTCACAAATCCTGGTTCAAAGGCATCATTGCATCAACCAAACACTGCTGTTTAGGATTTCTTTCTTTTTTTGGACACAATAAAATATCTAGGGCAGTCGACCATGCTTGCAAACACATTGTCAAAAGTTGTTGACTGAGAGATGTTTAACTTCTGTTTAAACACTTACATATTTTACCATTGACATACAAAAAATCTGAATTTTGTTTTATACTACTCAAAATAAGTTAAAGAACACTCCATGGTTTTTTTCAAATGACTATAGTTGATCTGTCATAAAGATTAACTTTAGTCATATGAAACAATCCAGTGTTCAACATATTTTGAGAGGTATATTAACAGTGTAATTAGTTCAAATTGTTCTCATGAAAAAACGCCAGACACAACTATGAAGTTAACAAATGAATCTCAGTCTATTGTCAAACTTTTGATAACATTTTACACTGAATTTCAGTATTGCTGAAACTGATAACATTTTGAGATATATGCATGGGATTCTACCCTGAAAGAATCAATCCTAATGCCACTATACTAGTCCAAACAGCTGCTGAAACAAGCATGCAATGTATGACCTTCAGAGGGATAGGATGCTGACGTACATTTCTTTATGGGACTCCGCCAACCATAGCCATCATGATCCTCCTATAGTCACCCGAGATGTCATCCTAGGTGAAAGACAAAACACAGAGATAGCTATAGCTCAGACAGGGTTACATTGCTGAAACGACAAGTCGTTAATAGCGAAATCTACATCTCTAAAGCCATCAGTAATAAACTTGAGACATACAGCAAGAAAGGTTTCTGATCATGATGACTGTGATGGCATGCTACCAGGTGATAGTGTGGGAAAAGGAGCTTCAACACAACACAACACAACAAAAACACAACAAGCAAACCTGAGCAAAGCAAAATTAAAAATTGCAAAATTAACAAGGAATGATATGAACATCTCTTGTGGTTCTGAGAAAGTATCCATGCAGTTAGCTCAAGAACGCAAGACCAGACATGTGATATACAACTGAGACATGTGGAGGTCTGGCCAGTGGTGTGGTCGGTCAGTGACCACCATGTTAAACTGACCTCCAAGCTACTTCAACGTGAGTCATGAGGTCCTACGTGATGCTGGTTGACCCATTATTGTTTAACCCATATTGCTCCATCATCAACGAATTCAGGGTAGGAGAGTCGACATGATCAAATACATCATTGATCATGATGTTAAACAGGGAGTGGCTTACCATGCTACCTTGTGGCAGACCATTGTCCAGTGACATAGGATCAGACTGATTATTCCCTATTTAGATAGTGATCTGTCTTGAACCCCTCAGACAGCTTCACTATTTGTAGTGGTGGAGTCATATATTTGAGGAAGCTGTCGTGATGAGTAATGGTAATGTCATTCATTATTACATTCAATGATGGTATTTCCATTTATGAAAATAATTGGCCTTAAACAAACATGCTATGATTGCAATAAGCACAACATGGATTTCCTATATATATATTTTGTGTAAAAATGGGCCTGATATAACTGAAAAATATCAAGTTGTTTGGGTTATTGAGATTAATGCATTAAAACAAACCTGTAAATCTCAGTTTAGTAACAAGCATCATTCTTCATACTATTAATAGAGTATGATTGAGACATTATTTTGTGTCGGTGTATATTACAACAAACTTTCGTATGAAGACAATAACATGGTGGTTACATCTTCTATCAGTAATAGCTGCGTGATTCCTTTCCATTATTTGAATACGCTTTCATAAAAATGATATACAATGTTCTGTCAAGCCATTCTGTATATAGTGTGCATGAAAAAAGTATGAAATGATTTCAGCTGCTGATCACAAATCTGCCACTGACTTCATACACAACACAAAGGTTAACTTTTCTTACCATGGAGTGATTGAATGTACATGTATACTATCACATAACCAGTTACTGTTGCCTGTAGTCACACTTGGACTACAATAATGTATTTGTTTTCATATTGCAGGTGTGGGGAGGGGAAATGAGCGTGTGTTGCAGGGATAGACATGGCCACAAGTCCAGTTTCCACCCTTGCCGAACTAGACTGGATTTTCTGCGCTCGATCGTAGCGCCACAAGTCATTACAACTTATGTCGCTTCTATATTTTTCCTATTTACTGATCAGATTCCACCTCTCATATCACTTGCATTTTCTTCAAATAAAAAGGCGACGAAGAGAAGATGATCCGATTGATAATCAAGATCTATATTGTAATAAAATGTGTCTTTTTTAGAGAAGTGCATCAACTCATATGAGCACCTTGATTAAAAACATTAAAAGATTTGGAAAATATCTGTTGACGCTAAGTTATCAATACATATGCTTTGCAAATCCTGCAATTGACCGAAATCTGCACAGCAAATCCAGTTATTGTACATAAATCAAATGTCCAAAATAGGCAGCCAACTTGTTGGACATGACTATAGTGGTGATATAAGATCAGATTATTAAAAGGTACTGGCAACTCTACACACAATGACCTGTCTCTTCATCATGTTCATAAACAATACAACTTGACAACAGCTATAATTACTAGAATATTATATATCAAACATAGACAAAGAATATGTAACAATATGGTTCATTCCCAATTGTGATCATAGAAATCGTTACAGTATTAACTTGCAAGAAAACATTGTGTGTACTTGAGTAACACATTGAGTTTTTCATCATCATGATCATATTAAAAACTCAACAGTCAAATGAAGGTGATTGGTATGAATGATCTCTTTATCATAACAGAGATAAATCACAATGTGTGCCACACAAAGCAGAACGGAACAAATTATTTGGTCAGTATTTGAGCAAGACTGTGAGGGCCGAAGCATTTTGGCTAAATCAAGGAACTGTTGTAGGCTTATCGGGAGGCTCCAACGAGCGCCATCAAAATTCTTCTATAGTCGCCTGATGTGTCATCCTGGATGAAAAAGAATAGGACCTTTAACATGTTTATTGAGTTTCTTTCTTACTTCTATATGAACACAACTGAAAAAAATGGGGCAACATGGCAAAATGAATAAATTCAACTGGCATTTGTGCTTTGGACTACTGTTATTTTTATCAAGTAGTATACCGCCATGCAAACAAGCAGTTAGCCAGCAGGGCAGGGACCAACCATTTTATTGCCTGGCACCAAGAATACATGGTTGCAAGATGTTTTTCGAGAAAGATTTTTTGCTTTTTTTTTGTTTTTTAATGCCCTACTCAGCAATATTCCAGCTATATGACAGCAGTCTGTAAATAATCAAGTCTGGACCAGACAATCCAGTGATTGACATCATGAGCATCGATCGATGACATGCATCAACCAAGTCATAATTAAATAATATTTGTTTTGTGAGCTGCAGCGGAAAAAAATATCCAGTCTCCATACAAAATCCCAGGTCTTTTCACCAGAATATCAAGGTGAGACTTTCTTTGTATACGGCTTAAAGATTCTGACATCCTAAAATATTGAAAAATATTCCAAACACAAAAATATCTGAAAAGCACCATTATGTTAGTATTGCTCCCAATGCAAACTTATGCACCCATCACAATAACTAAATGTGCATGCTGTATCTTAAATACCAAGTCTGATGAGACAAGCAAAGCGAACAATGCTTTCAAGTTTTGAAGGTCCTTTGAGTTTATTTTGTTTGCCCATCTACCAACTAGGCATTTTCACACAAAAATCTGTAACTCAGAAATATAAAGTCTGGTCTTTGTGTTGATCAAATACAAAGTTAACAAATCTTTGTGGTAATTTTGAAAAAGATGCTGCTTTACTTTGAAATATAGTTCTATATTCCATAACATGCGTAAGTAGTAGCTTGTTGAAAGTTCATTGTATTTGGAGAAAGACAGCATTTGCAAATACTGTCAGTTTTATTATAGGGTGGTCACCTCATTTTATGTCAATAACAAGTGCAACAAGTGTACACTAAACACAAACTGATCAATGTATTCCTCACCCATGCAGAACTAGTTTGAAGAAACTTACAATTCCAATTTTAGAAAGAACATTACCGTATTCGACGTAATAAGCGCCCCGCTCTAATAACCGCCCACGACGAGATTTTCTGATATATTGGCTAGTGAACAATCCCAATTAGCACCTCTTCTGACCCCTATTCGCATATAATCGTGTGTTATATGTACCCCTTATTATTGGCAATTAAATTCTGGAAACATATATCTGTCGTACATAAACATTTCAGGCTGTCAGCATAAACAACGAAATTTATCTTTCAACTCTGTTTTTTCACCAAAATTATATTCTGATAAGAGCCCCCTATTTCTAATTTTGAGAGCGCCCTGGACGCTTATTACATCAAATACGGTACCATATATTGTAAATCTTGAAATTAATGCAAGAGTGAATTAAAAGCAAAAAAAGTGAGTGGTCTTTGCTCGCATTAATTAACTTCGCATTTATGCCTCCAAAATGACTATCAACAATAAGATGGCCCAGCTGCACACTTTGGATAGCAGAAATACCAACTTGAAAATAAACACAAACACGGATTATTGAGCAGCAGTTGTAACAAGTATATAACAATGTCATTCAAAGAATAGGAATTACACAATAGGCATCCAGTGAGTTATCACTGCTGGGGTCAAGAGTTCCACCCACTCGTGTCAAGCTTGTTGACACCTTCTCCGCATACCAATCAGTGAACTGTTGTTGGTTCAATCATTTTATTGCTTTTGATCTTCCTTTATGCCAGTCAACAAAGTAAACATATAAACATGTGTTGTTCTTAGGAAAACACTGCTCTACTCAGTGCTAATAAGCAATGTTATTACAGTATTAATGAAGTTGTTATCCATAAGCTGTGTCTACTTCAAATGCTATTTGCTGGGGAAGGGGGAGTCGCTTTGATTTTGAGTCACATTTTTGGCTAGGGGTTCACCGTCGTATTAATTAATTTCCAGATTTACAGTATCTCCTGTTTATTTTCTTCAACAGGTATGAAAAAACTGCTATTTTGTGGAATGTTTTTAAGCTTAATAGTTTCTGATACCTTATAACTGGTAAATGATAAAAAATATAAAAAAGTTTAAACATATTGAAAATGTAAGGTAATTCTGATTCATATTAATTCTAACATGTTTAAGGTCATAACAGTCAATGTGGGATATTGATCTAGGACTGTCCTTGAGACTTTGCTATAATGGAGGTAGGTTAAGTGCAAACCAATGAAAGAAAGAAGGACATGAAATATGAAGTTTAGCAGAGATTTGAGAACTCTGTTAGTCTATTAAGGGAGGTAACTCAATCAGGCCTTAAGCTATGAGTACCAGTAGTAGTATCTGCTTTTCATGCATGACAAAACATTACATATTAAAGGTGGCCAAACTGGATGCCAAATTATGTTAGCGAGTGAATATTGTTTTATCACACACAGTAGGGCAACAAAATCTCACACGCAGAGACGCACACACACATGAAGAGCTCCCCCCACTGTCCCCTGTGTATATATACTGATGGAAATAAATAAGGGAACACTTAGGTTCAGACACAGTCAAATAGTATGCTATCATGGGTTCCCGGCCTTGTCTACCAAATACATGTTGGAAACAATGCACACAAACACATCTCAACATGACAGTAAAGCTTATTTCCCTCTATTTTCATCATTCCCTATTCGGTTTCCATCAGTATGTGTTAATGAAATGAGCATAAATACAATTCACATAATTGGTGCACAATGATAAACAATCCATTTTCATGTTAGGCAACCCACACCCTATGAAGATTTTTCTTCCCTGGAATCTTAATGAGTTTGGTAATACACATCTTCCCGAGGCAAGAGAGTTAACTGACTACAAAAGTCCAGTTTCCACCCTTGACGAATTAGGCTGGTATTATGGAGTTACATTTTGGCTGCACAGTCCAATCAAAATCGTGCCCCAAAATCGAAATCAGGTTCGTAAACTGTCATGCAGATTCCGATCGATTGCAGGATTTGCAAAGCATGTGCACCGCCAACTCGTTGTCAGCAGATATTTTCCAAATCTTTTCATTTTTTTCATCAAGGTGCTTACGTGATTTGATGCATTTCGCAATGTAAGACACGTTTTATCACAATATAGATCTTGATTCACCATTTTGTGTGAAGAAAACGCAAGTGATGGAATCTGACTGGTCCATAGGAGAGGCTTAAAAGGGACGTAACTGGTAATAGCGACTGGTGGCGCTACGATCGAGCCCAGTAATTCCAGCCTAGTTTGGCAAGGGTGGAAACTGGACTTTTAAAGTCAGTTAACTCTCTTGCCTTGGGAAGATGGGTAATACATTGCTTTCAGCAATATTCCAGCAATATCACAGAGTGGTCTCCAGGAATTGGCATCAGACATTGCGCCTACATGGGGAATCAAACACAGGTCTGTGGCTTGATGAATAAACACTTTAACAACTAGGCTACCCCCCAACTTCCCATGAATCCTCATGAGGATGTTTTCAGACAAACATTCCACAAATTTGCATAATGTCCATAGTGATGGAAGTCTTAGATGTTTTCAACTTTGGTGAAATCCAAGTGTACGGACATGGTGCTGACAAACCATAATCAGGGCAAACCAGTATTCACACAGCGATTGCAAGTTTTTGACATGTCTGAGGGACAAGACTCTGTACAACAACTTGCAGCATCTTAGACAACAGGTCCACCAGTGATGCTGTAGCAGGGAACAGCTAGCCTGTATGTGTTGAGTGAGTGAGTGAGTGAGTTGGGTTTAACGCTGCTTTTAACAGTATTCCAGTTATATCACGGCGTGCCAGCTTTGTGGGAGGAAAGCCCGAAGTGATGCAGGTCTTAAATGTTTACCAGTTGGTGAAACCCAAGAGCACGGGTATGGTGCTGACAAACCTAGAAACATAATCGGGGCGAACCGGAATTCGCACCCACAATCATAGGTTTCTGGCGTGCCCAAGGGACGCAACTCTGCACAGCGAATCACGGCGCTTTAGACGACTGGGCCACCCGTGCCCCCTTGTATGTGTTGACTGATGGAACGAAAGTTCAGATGCTTAGTCTATTACACGGAGGAAGTAACTAGTTCTGACAGCACTATGTAACACAGGTTAACAATGCAGTCAGTTTGATTACCATGCCACTATTCCATACACTTAAATTATAAAGAACTGGTAGAGAGTGATCCTTGCACTACAATGGTTATGTATGGGAGTTGTAATAGGCATATAATAGGCACTTTGTCATACATTGCCTGTGACTACACACTCAACATTTGGAATTGTTTCAAAATTAAAACATAAGGAAAATTACATATTCTTTTCTTCCTATTCTCATTGGTTATGGCGTTCTGAGGGGAGGTCTGGTAGCCTAGTGGTTAAAGCATTCGCTCGTCATGCCAAAAACCCGGGTTCGATCCCTGACATGGGTACATTGTGTGAAGCCAATTTCTTGTGTCCCCCGCCGCGATATTGCTGGAATATTGCTCAAAGCGGCGTAAAATCATACTCAGTCACTTTGGCATTCTGAACAAAGGTAGCAAAGAAATTATGCATTATTATTGTAAGTTGACATCTGAGAACTCAAGAACTTACACATCCTTCATTTAGAGTGGTTAAAGTTTGTTCAGGGTTCACCAGACACAAGCTCCTGTTTAGGCTTTGACAGATCTGGTAACCGCGGTAACATATCAGAGTAAACAATGATAATGAACACCTGGAGTATACAAACCATTCTCAGCAGCCATTGTTACCACCAATGTCCATTGACATGGCCCAACAAGCATTGGGTGTGGGGACCAATTCTGACTCACAGTCCATGTAATACTAGCAACCATGTTTTGAACCAAGAAAGCTTCAGCTGATCGAGCCAAGTCGTGAGCTTTTAGATGAAATGAGTATTTGTCTACATCAACTCACCCTGATGAAGCTCTCCAGTGTCTTGCCAAAGCGTTTTGCAAACTCCTCCTTGATCTGAATCATATCCACTTCAGCTCTCGTAACAACAACCCTGACCAGCGTACGATCATCGGTTCCTGCACCCTGGAACAAGCCATATCGAAACACATTGAAGTTTGTTCTACACTAGATCACTTCAGCTCTCGTAACAACAACCCTGACCAGTGTACGATCATCAGTTCCTGCACCCTGGAACAAGCCATATCGAAACACATTGAAGTTTGTTCTACACTAGATCACTGCAGCTCTCGTAACAACAACCCTGACCAGCGTACGATCATCAGTTCCTGCACCCTGGAACAAGCCATATCGAAACACATTGAAGTTTGTTCTACACTAGATCACTTCAGCTCTCGTAACAACAACCCTGACCAGTGTACGATCATCAGTTCCTGCACCCTGGAACAAGCCATATCGAAACACATTGAAGTTTGTTCTACACTAGATCACTGCAGCTCTCGTAACAACAACCCTGACCAGTGTACGATCATCAGTTCCTGCACCCTGGAACAAGCCATATCGAAACACATTGAAGTTTGTTCTACACTAGATCACTGCAGCTCTCGTAACAACAACCCTGACCAGCGTACGATCATCAGTTCCTGCACCCTGGAACAAGCCATATCGAAACACATTGAAGTTTGTTCTACACTAGATCACTGCAGCTCTCGTAACAACAACCCTGACCAGTGTACGATCATCAGTTCCTGCACCCTGGAACAAGCCATATCAAAACACATTGAAGTTTGTTCTACACTAGATCACTTCAGCTCTCGTAACAACAACCCTGACCAGTGTACGATCATCAGTTCCTGCACCCTGGAACAAGCCATATCGAAACACATTGAAGTTTGTTCTACACTAGATCACTGCAGCTCTCGTAACAACAACCCTGACCAGCGTACGATCATCAGTTCCTGCACCCTGGAACAAGCCATATCGAAACACATTGAAGTTTGTTCTACACTAGATCACTGCAGCTCTCGTAACAACAACCCTGACCAGTGTACGATCATCAGTTCCTGCACCCTGGAACAAGCCATATCGAAACACATTGAAGTTTGTTCTACACTAGATCACTGCAGCTCTCGTAACAACAACCCTGACCAGCGTACGATCATCAGTTCCTGCACCCTGGAACAAGCCATATCGAAACACATTGAAGTTTGTTCTACACTAGATCACTGCAGCTCTCGTAACAACAACCCTGACCAGTGTACGATCATCAGTTCCTGCACCCTGGAACAAGCCATATCGAAACACATTGAAGTTTGTTCTACACTAGATCACTTCAGCTCTCGTAACAACAACCCTGACCAGCGTACGATCATCAGTTCCTGCACCCTGGAACAAGCCATATCGAAACACATTGAAGTTTGTTCTACACTAGATCACTGCAGCTCTCGTAACAACAACCCTGACCAGTGTACGATCATCAGTTCCTGCACCCTGGAACAAGCCATATCGAAACACATTGAAGTTTGTTTTACACTAGATCACTGCAGCTCTCGTAACAACAACCCTGACCAGCGTACGATCATCAGTTCCTGCACCCTGGAACAAGCCATATCGAAACACATTGAAGTTTGTTCTACACTAGATCACTGCAGCTCTCGTAACAACAACCCTGACCAGCGTACGATCATCAGTTCCTGCACCCTGGAACAAGCCATATCGAAACACATTGAAGTTTGTTCTACACTAGATCACTGCAGCTCTCGTAACAACAACCCTGACCAGTGTACGATCATCGGTTCCTGCACCATGGAACAAGCCATTTCAAAAACACATTGAAGTTTGTTTTACACTAGATCACTGCAGCTCTCGTAACAACAACCCTGACCAGCGTACGATCATCAGTTCCTGCACCCTGGAACAAGCCATATCAAAAACACATTGAAGTTTGTTTTACACTAGATCACTTCAGCTCTTGTAACAACAACCCTGACCAGCGTACGATCATCGGTTCCTGCACCCTGGAACAAGCCATTTCAAAACACATTGAAGTTTGTTCTACACTAGATCTCACATGTAGGAGGCATCTTGAGTTGTGATATCAACTGCATGACACTTCATGAATTGGCTTGTGAACAAACAATCAAATTTAACATTATGTAAATATTTTGGCAAGCCTCATGGATGTCCTTATGTTTACCTTCATAGAATAGTAGAGTCTGTCTGCAAAATAGGCGGCTTTGTTTCTCACGACCTTCACTGAAATAATAAAAAAAAGTAAAGTTTTGTGATGTCATGAGTGAGTGAGTGAGTATGGTTTTATGCTGGTTTTAGCAATATTCCAGCAATATTACGGCAGGGGACACCAGAAATGGGCTTCACACATTGTACCCATGTCGGGAATCGAACCCAGGTCTTCGGCATGACTAGCAAACGCTTTAACCACTAGGCTACCCGACCGCCCCCCGTGATGACATGAAATGTGGCAAAATACTATAATCACTGCATATTGATGGCATTAAAATGATAAGACAATTATTATTTAATGAAACACAAAGACATCGCAAAAATATATTTCAAGATGAGAAGATCAAGCCGAAATTTATCATCCTATAGGCAATACACTTAATTACAACTGAGGAGGACAAATGTGATTAAACCTTACTTGTGTTTACACTGTGGAACCAAACAAGTTTCATATCACTTTTCCATAGTGTCAACAACACAAACATGAGGTCAGATAGATCTACAGATGAAGAGGACCTCTCACTTTCATCATAGTACTGGACAATGAGTATCACAGGGGACTTCCTAACCAAACTGACTAGCAGTGGAAATAGAATCCGTCCACCACACAGACTGCCAACCATTTTCTATTCTTCATTTTATAAGTTCACTGCAGAGCACGAATCGGTTTCTGAAACCCAGCCACCTCCGTTAGTTTTTGTACTATCATTACTTAGTTAATGCCAGCATTGTTTTTACTGTGCCATAGGTCATTCATGAGTGTTTCCAGAATGTCTGACAGCGCTATCATATTGGTAAACTCCAGTAGCCTCTACACAACACAAAGCAAGGAGGCAACTGACCGATCGTAAGCATGCTCCTCTCCAGGTCCCCAGACATCTCCGAAATGATCGCCTTCTCGATGTCCTGGTTGACAATCCGACTGTAGGCATCAAACACTGCCCGCAACTGGTCATAGCTCTGTGCTGCCAGGATACGGTTGAATGTGTTCTCATCTGTTCCCCATCTCTTCTGGCCTGCCTCATACAATGCCTGTGTGAATGTAACAAATGTGAGGTTAGCGTGATGACACATCTTGATTTGATCTTTCCTGTTCAAACACACTCGTGATGAAGAGTGTACCAAGTTGTCAGACAAAACATAAAGGTTTAGTGAGTAAGTGAGTTTGGTTTAGCGCCACTAAAGGATGCAACTCTGCACAGCACCTTAGACATTTGAGCTACCCATGCTACCAGAAAGGCTTAGCAAAAGTATACTTGCCACTTAATCAGGGGTGCAATTTAATCTGTACTATGTACAAGCCCCAAGTGTGGTAAGGTACATATAGAGGCACCAACTAAAGGCCTGGAATTGTAATGGCTCTTAGATAGCTTTGACATTTGATAAACTGACTCAGGCTAGTGTCAAGTTGTATCCCTTAATGAACATAAATCATATTTCATATTGCCTGAGTGAGTGGGTTGGGTGCAACGCCGCTTTTAACAGTATTCCAGTTATATCGCGGCGTGTCAGCTTAATGTGGGAGGAAAGCCCAAAGTCATGTGGGTCTCCAACGTTTACCACTTCGGTGAAACCCACGAGCACGGGTATGGTGCTGACAAACCTAGAAACATAATCGGGGCAAACCGGGATTTGAACCCACAATCAAAGGGACCCAAAACCCCAAGGGACGTAACTCTGCAGAGCGAATCACGGTGCCTTAGACAACTGGGCACCCGTGCCCCCTCATATTGCCTGAAAAAGCACATGCTGTTATTATCCTCAAACATGGGCATTTAAACCAAACTATTGGTGAAATTCTTTTAAATGCCCTGCTTGTCTGCAAGCCGGTCAAATACAGAATGACAGTGTACATTTCTGAGACATCAACAAACATCAAGCCACAGGCTGAGCACAACAATACAAAGACAGTACAACACTCACCTTGGCATCCTGCTGGGCCTTAGCCTGGTCCACAGGCTGGTTCTCCATCCGGCCTCCCTGCAACCACAGCAGAATATATACAACCCAGTAACCAGTCATTTGAAAATATGTCATGGAGCAATTACTGGATTAAGTCTCTGGCATGTGTAGAAGTAAATAGATGCCAGTAAATAGATGAATCTACTCGATGCCTGCACTATAATGATGTGGTAGTAGCAATACTCACAGTTGTCATGGACACAAGAAGCTTCTTGAAATGTCCTGATGTTTCACTGATGATGTCCTGTTCCAACTTTCGGCCATACACTGAAAACATGATTCACTGTAAGTAACCCTACACATTTCTAAGCCTCTTTCACCAGATACCTCAAACATTGACTTCTAGGTGAGATGTGGTGAAATGGGGTTTATTGTCACATCCAAGATTATTGCACTTAAATAACGGGCATGCAGGAATGTGTGTGTGGCTGCTTGTACTAGTCTGGACTAGTCGATTTTATAGTGCTAGCCCACTGAGATACCATGCCACAGTTTAACATGAATATGCCACTCAGACACAGTATACAGACTCGGAGCCAACCAGTCCTTGTTTTAGCCCCATAATGCGAGCACCAGGCAGGGTAACAAGTACCACCTTTTGTAATGACAAGCTGGGGATTGAACCCCGGACCTTCTGCTCTCTGGTTGAATGCTCTACCACTAGCTAGGCCACGGAGGCGGTCTACATTGACTTCTGATGGAATGATAATGATGCTACTTCAAGTACAGATGCAAATCATTCATGGAATTGAGGAAATGGAGGCAGGTTTGTATGGTTCAGGAAGTGTTCAGGAAGTGTTCATGTACTGTTACTTACTGGCTTTGTAAGCTGCAACCATGGCAAGGACCTGTTTGTTGTTCCTGGTACACAGGATTTCTATCAGTGCTGCTTCATCAGTGCCGGCTCCCTAAAACAAAGAATGAAGCATGGATGCAAGTCAAGGTCTCTATGTGGTAATGCTCCCATTGATGTACTCATCTGGAACTGCATAAATTATTCTCAAAACATATGGAAATCATTGCTTGATAAACTGTAGCTTGCATGTGCTAAAGACGGTTTAAGACTAATCACTGTGAAATTAGAGCGTGTTTGCCTTGCCTAACATCATAAAGCCTAATTATGACAAATGACAATACAGTTAACTGTGTCTAACCCTCATGGCTCTCCTCAACTCATAGGCGTCGTACTCTTCCCGTGTGTACAACAGAGCGATGCAGGCGTCCTCGAAGTGACCACTCAGCTCACTCTTCAAGTCTTGAAGCAGATCCTACAAATCATAGAACAAGGTGTCAACACACAACATACATTGTCAGTAGTTTACTGTATACACACTTCTCAAATACTGACAACTCAAATGTGATTAAAGTCCTCCAGTAATGCTAACAACAGTGGAACTGCACTCCTAGAAAACCAAGTATACATAAGTGGGCACTCATTCTGAGAGTGTTGAGACTCCCAACGTGGTAAAGCTGATATCAGTGTAAGAGGAGAGGTGATGACCTTACCCTGCCAAAGCATGTCTTATACATCAGTTTGATCTGCTGTCTTTGGTCTGTGCTGCGATATCCCAGAATATCAATGATAGCCTTCTCATCAGTACCTAAAACACAATATAGTAGTTTGATTATCTTCTGTGCTGGACATTAAGAAACTAACACCCTGATTAAAACAAGTACATTTTCAGCAGGCACAAGGCCATAAAATACAAGCTTTGCAAACATAGTGTGGTATTAATCCATGTGAAGGAATAGGTGTATGAGAGTGAAAAACTATGGATGACAAGCTGACAAGATTAATCACAGGCACAGACAACAATGGTGAAGAGAGTCAAGGAACAGTTACACCTGTCTGAAGCAAGAACATCGGTAAATGAAGCGGGTGTGATGTGTCCAACAATATTACAGAAAGGTTGCCTACAATCAAACTAATTAATCTGGACCTGCAAAGATCCGGGTAGAATAGGTCTTCAGCAAGCTGGGATATAGCTGAGTGCGATGTTAAACAAAAAACAAACAAACAAAATTATAACGGGATTGAGCAAGGGAGGATTTTGAGAGGGCGTAAATCTTCTGATTTCAACTGAGTATACTTGGTCGAAAGAAGAGGCCATACAGTGGCTGGCGGTCATCTACATGAAAGCTTTACCGGTATGCCACTGGACACATTAAGAATGGGCTCCTACACTGATTCCATGTGACTGATTTGATACAATTAATACATTGTCAACACAGGGAACCTTGTTTACTTTATCTGATGAGCATAATGTGCAACTATAAAAGTGAGTGAGTAAGTTTGGTTTGACTGCTTTGGGCTGTCAGCTTGATTTGGGAGGATAGGAAAACATGATGTAGGTCTTAGACGTTTACCACTTTTGTCAAACCCCATGAACCTGGGTATGATGCTTACACCCCCTGTGCCCAAGCATCATCAAACAGCTGTATACAGTGTAAGAACAGGTGGTCCAAGTCAAGTGCATCCTCGATTATTTAGAGAATAAATCTCCATTCTATTGTGATAAATACCCTGGACCCATTCATCATAGGTTGTTCTGAGTCTTATTCAATTGACACAATGATAAAAGTCTCCTTCATTTCATTTCAAACTCATGTGAGAGAGCATCTTCCCGAGGCAAGGGAGTGAACTGACTGTAAAAGTCCAGTTTCCACCCTTGTAGAACTAGGCTGGAATTATGGAGTTATATTTTGGCTGGACAAAAGAGTCCAATAGTCCAGTCAAAATCACTTTACAAAATCGACATCCAGTTCGTCAACTGCCATGCAGATTTTAATCGACTGCTGGATTTGAAAAGCATGTGTACCGACGACTTAGTGTCAACAGATATTTTCAAATTCTTTTCATTTTTTTTATTCAAGGTGTGCACATTATTTGATGCACTTCACAAAGTAAGACCTGTTTATTACAATATACATCTTAATTATTGATCAGATTGTCTTCACTGGGCGACGCCATTTTATTTGAAGCAAATGTAAGTGATCTAAGAGGTGAAATCTGATAGGTCAATAGGAGGGGCATAGAAGGGACATAACTCTCAATAGCCACTGGTGACGCTACCAACGAGCCCAGAAATTCCAGCCTAGTGCAGCAAGGGTGGAAACTGGACTTTTACAGTCAGTTAACTCCCTTGCCTCAGGAAGATGGTGAGGGAGAAATTCTGTTGGAAGTTACTGATAGGAGAGATGGAGAATGTGACTTCACATCCCAAACAAAGCTGTGGCAGGGAGTGGGTCCAGGGGGTTCATCACAATAGAATGGAGTATACCGTATTCGACGTAATAAGCATATATGCTAGTGAACAATCCCAATTAGCACCCCTTCCGATTGATCAATGTTTACAAGATTTATTTATTCGCGTACAATACGCACGCGTGTGTTATATGCACCCTTAATTATGGGCAATTAAATTCTAGAAAAATATATCTGTCGTACATAAACATTTCAGGCAGTCAGCATAAACCACGAAATTTATCTTTCAACTCTGTTTTTTTTCACCAAAATAATATTCTAAAAAGAGCCCCCTATTTCTAATTTTGAGAGCGCCCTGGGCGCTTATTACGGGGAATACGGTAATATACTCGAAAATCAAGCAGGGGGTTATAGTTACATTTTCATAGTGTTTCAAGTTGAATCAGCTTTTACCATGTATGTAGGCTATCTCCTGCCTTGCACACATTTCATGCATACCTCTAATTTGCGTTACACATGTACACGATACATCGCACCTAGGAGTACACAGGAACATCATTACTTAGACAAGGTGTAACTATGTTCTACCACCAGGTGACATGCACACATTTGTCACACCAACAATACACATTCATCCTCAATTATCCAGTCTAGTATGTCTCCATTCTGGTACAGACTCATTTGCTACCATAGCTTTGTTTTGAACCGCATTCAAAACAAATAGCCCTCTAATCAGATTAACTTAAGCAAGAGAAATGTGCAAAGTTAATGATAAGAGAAATAGAGGATCTCACCTGAGTGTCTTTTGATATCAAAAATATCAACACGAGTTGATAAAAGTGGAAAAACTCCAAGGCTTGCCAAGGAGTTTTTCCACGTTTATCAACGAAAGTTGATATATTTGATATCAAAAGACACTCGTGTGAGATTGTATTTATCATCCAACATCATTCTTCCAACTTTTTCAGTTTGTAGACAGTAATTAGCAGTGTCTTATGTGTAATAAGTACCGCTAACAGCTTCAGTAGCAGAGCCATTAGTGATCTCATTTGATTGTGACGTCATGACCAATGATGTCACAGTGGTCTGCAAAGCATTGTGATGCAATTTTATTGCAGCGATATCTACAAGGTAGATATCGCTCGATCTCACCCAAGTGATATCTCCTGTTTTGGATGATAAATGATGATGTCACTTCATAACTAAAGTTTTTGGCAGTTAATGGTTGCAGAGTATCATAATACAATGGAGACACGGGATAATCGAGGACGAAGCCCAGCATGCATAGTAACTCTCCTGATAAGGATATCTCATTCAGTTCTCATTCAACAGGTGTACACCAACAGAAAGTTTATTGATAAGATAAGTACATCCCCATACAGTACAATTGTATAATTCAGATCCAATTTTCAAAAGAACTTTTTAGTTGCAGTTTTAGCAACTCCCTTCACTATTCCAGTCATAGTTCTTGACTTAACTGAAAATAGAAAGTTGCAAACATCATGCAACAGTAGACTGGGAATGCACATTGCAGTCAGTCAACTTGCCCAAATTATGATTGTTTCTGTGTTATGACTGTAAAGGTTATTATTGAGGGGTTTTAGTATTCAACATGCTGGAGATACTAACAAAATTCCTCAGACCAAAATATTGACTGGCTCCACGCTGAAACTCTCTCTTCAAATATTTTTCAATAAAGCATTCAAGTAAAACACTATTTAAAAATTATCATTAAGAAAATAGGCAAGGAAATCATAACCCATGCCTGAGGGAGCAGCACAAGCAGAGAATACACTACATACTGCAGAACATGTTGAAGCAGTGCTGGGTAATAAAGCTTCAGGTTTTACCAAGGCAACAACACACTAGCACACCTTGCTATTTACATTTGGTCAAGTAAGGGTATCACGTGAGACCAGACAATCTGGACAAAAGTTCTATTAGCCTGCAAAGCAGCACAAGTTAAAATACCAGTAAAATGTAAAAGGTATCCTGAGAGCTGGTATAATTTAAATCATCTTCTCAATTGAACACTTAGAAAGTGGTCAAATGTACCAATTGTTATATTTGGGACAACACTTTCTTAGTAAAGTACAGATTCTCATACTTTTTGGGGTTGAATCCCGTCTGGGATTCGAACCCACACTGCCAGAGTGAGGCACCTATTTGGTGGCTGAGTGGGTTAGACCACTGACTTTGTGTGCTGGCGAATAGGTGCCTCACTCTGGCAGTGTGGGTTTGAATCCCAGTCGGGATTCAACCCAAAAAAGTACGAGAATCTGTACTTTACTAAGAAAGTGTTATCCCAAATATAACATTTGTTACATCTTCTCAAGTGTTTTTAAAAGTTTGAAACAGAGTGCAAGAGTGATCCCTAGCCAAACTTCCCACACCAAAACATGTGTTGATGCAAGGGAGGCTCTGATTCTGAACTAATTTGTTGTGTCCGACTTAGCGAGGTCTTACCAATTCCCTTCATAGCCTTCCTCAGTTTCTGGCAATCTGTCTCAGCATTGAAGTTACTGGCTGGCCTCAGTGTCCCGCTTTCCTGGTAATGAAAATATGAAATATTTTGTGTTTCTAAATTAATCCCTGTTTGATCAATATCATTTTAAGTGCGCTGAATAACACAGGCATTTTTTTCCATGGAATTCATGCACTTTACTTGTAATAATGATAAAGTAGGAGCTGTCAGGTACCGGGGCAGGGATTTACTGTGTGTAAGTCCCGAGTACTATACCATTGTGCATCCACTGGGACACAGAAGATTTGTATACATGTTTAGGAATGAACTATTTCATCATTTGGCACCCCATAAAATTTATTTAGGTATGCAATCTCTTAAAATTGCAATGGGGTGGTTGTTATGTTTCAAAACAAGAAGATTTGCAAAAAGATTTTTGTGGGGCAAGTGAATGTGTTTTCGAAGCTTCAGTAAACACACATTAAGTAGAGTTTTATATGAATCGTGATTAATCATTATGATTACAAATTAGGTAAATATAAACAAGCAAGGAATAAAGCTGTCTTATTTGAATAACACAATAACATCATATATTTTATTCAGTTCTTGTCATTTCTCTGTGACATCCATGTTGTCAGTTGGGACCAGTGTATGAAAAAAAAAAATTTGCCAGACTGCCATCAGGACCCACAGACTTTAGACGCTGTATATGTCCTGACTAAACTCTTCAGGCCCTTATGTAAAAAAAAATGCAGCTTATTGTGACAAATAAATCAACACGTAAATTTGATGCAAGCACTAAGGACCAATACAAATTTGAAACTATGGGCCTGGCACGAGATCTACCTGCCACAAGCAGGCGCTTATTTCGAACACTGCCTGGGACCCCTACAATTATATAAACAACCCATGTATATCCCTGCCCTGGTACAGGTTAATGAGTTCACAGGTACATCAGGCAGGTCACACATTGCAACCACCAGCTCTCTATTAGCCATCTCTAATAGTAAAGCATTCAGTATTTTCCTTTGTAAAAGTACTTGGACTCAATGAAGTAGAAAGCCAGGAGCCCATGTTAGGTGCCCAATAAATGCAACAAATCGTGTGTATCAATCTAATAAGATGTCAGTCGGTTTGCAACCCTTATTTCGATCTTGGTGAGAGTTTTAAAACCTCTAGCTTATTGTCCCTCAAATTTTGTTTTTTTAAAATCCCACCCCTCCCCGACCACGACATCTTCCCGAGGCAAGCGTGTTAACTGACTATAAAAGTCAAGTTTCCACCCTTGCCGAATAAGGCTGGTATTATGGAGTTTGAAATCGAAATCTGGTTCGTAAACTGTCGGGCAGATTTTGGTCGATTGCAGAATTTGCAAAGCATGTGCACCGCTAACTCGTTGTAAACAGATATTTTCTAAATCTTTTCATGTTATTAATCAAGGTGCTCACGTGAATTGATGCACTTCGCGATGTAAGACTCGTTTTATCACAATATATAGATCTTGATTATCGATCAGTTCATGTTGACTGGGCGCCGCAGTTTTGTTTGAAGCGAAGTGATACGAAAGGTGGAATCTGATTGGTCCATAGGAGAGGCATAGAGGGGACATAACTCGTAATAGCCAATGGTGGCGCTACGATCGAGCCCAGGAATTCCATCATAGTTCGACAAGGGTGGAAACTGAACTTTTAAAGTCAGTTAACTCTCTTGCCTCAGGAAGATGCCACCACGAAAACATCAATTGAAAACTTGGTCATGAACCACTGCTTCAAGTCTGGGGCAATGAATGATTGTCTGTGCTAAAAATGTCACAGTTACAGTCTCATATCACAATCTGCAGTGCATGCAAAGAGTCCTACCACTGGTTTATAAGCTGAATGTGAAGCTCCCGGATTTCCATATCCACCATAGGCTGCTGAGGGTGGCTGGTGGCCTCCTTGCTGTGGGGGAGCTGAGCCCTGGGGCTGATATCCCCCTGGTGCTGGTGCTGGTGCTGACCCGTACCCTGCAGGCTGACCATACCCTGCCTGAGGAGGCTGACCGTAACCTGCCTGGGGAGGTTGACCATACCCTGCCTGGGGGGCTTGACCAGGGAAACCACCCACCTGAGGAGGCTGACCATACCCAGGTTGTGGGGCCTGACCTGCAAAACAAATATCAGTTTAATCATCACAAACAAATCATTATGAGCATCTGCATGATGAGCCAATTCTTCAAGCACCAGACTCCTTTATTCCTGGGATTGCTAGAAACATACACAAAGAGACAGTATTAAGAACAGCACTGTTCCAATACACCTTCACTGGACCTCTGTGTTATAGTATACTCACCATTTCGTAGGGATACTCTGAGTGTCCAGGTGGGGGATAAATCTGACTGGTTGTTCATAAACATTGTCGTACAACTAGGATGCAATCTGAGCTGGACCAGACACAACTTAAGCCTAATTTTATAATGAACAAAAGTTTGTTTGTTTGTTCTTTAACGTCATACTCAGCAATATTCAAGCTAGATGATGGTGTCTGTAAATAATCGAGTCTTGACCAGACAATCCAGTGATTGCCATCATCAGCATTGATCTACGCAATTGGGATACGAGACATGCATCGAACAAGTTAGCGAGCCCGACCAACGAAGAATACTGTATCACAACAAAGTATATCAATACAGCACTACTGAAGGCACTGAAGGCACTGAAGCTAAATGCACCACCCACCTGGATATCCTCCAGCCTGAGGCGCCTGGCCTGGGAAGCCACCCCCAGGGGGCTGTCCATAGCCTGGTTGTGGGGGGGCGTTGTAGGCCTGGGGTGGGTATCCTCCCTGAAACCATGAAAACTTGAAACTCATCTAATAATCATAATTGTGTCTATGAATCAGCGAATGTTTCCACACAGGGACAATGGTTCAACTACTAAATGAGCACTAACATGACTACAATGCTTTTGAAATTAAAATACCTTAACGCTATAAAAAATCTTCAAGGTTCTGATTCTACATAACGTACATGGAAATGGCTGAAGCAGACATTTGATATGAGAGTGTTATCATTGAGTATGAACAAAGATGTATTGTACATGTTGAAAAGTGTCCATGGCAGTTGCAATACATCACTGACAAATACTAACATCATTATCACACTACATATTGCACATGTTCAATAGGTTGGAAAATTCTGATAATCATTTTATTACCCTTCTTTATATTTTCAAAATACATCTAGCATAAAGACACATGGTGGTATCCATTCAGAACATCAGAGTTACCTCCCTTAACTCCCTAGCAATCTGATATGAACCTTGCAAATGGCAGACACAAGAGGCACATAATGCCAGGAAAGGTTACCCATCACACTATAATAATACTGCTCCAATACTAGAACAGTAATTGTGTTTCATCACATAAACGATAAACTTATTATAATGATCTGATAAATATGCAAATGAGTTCACCAAGCAGGAACTACTTGTCATCTTCATCCATCAAATCAATGTATGCTTGCTCAATAAACTATTGATTAAAGTTACCAATAAGTTTAGACAGAGTTTTTCCAAGGTGTGGGTCATCATGGAAACAAACATGGCTGCAAATTATTTTGGCACTATATGATAAATTGGTGGATCACTTCAACACTGAATTTAAAGTTTTCTGAAGATACTTTATTAAGAGACTTTATGACTAAAACGTCAATTACGGTAATTTTGATTAACCTCTTCATACAGTTTGAATTCCCAATATATGATGTTTACTATGCAGAAACACGTGAATCAAATAATCACTATTTAACCTACAGTCACAGCTACACAAATGGTCTCACCTGTCCTGGCATCTGGTATGTTGGCTGACTGGCACTGGGCCCTGATGGCATCGCTACCTGGGGTTGGCCGCCTGGCATCGGGCCCTGGAGAGAGAAAGTCAGGGCCGTGGGTGATACATGACCTGATTCAGTGTACTTGTCACAAGGGCAGGTTGTTTTCACATTGCTAGGATAGGGATAATGTTATGACAACAGGACATGATAACACCAGGAAGAAATAAATGAGAGATGAATAGAAGTATGTGAACAGATGACTACACGGATTGTGAAGGTATAAACTTCGATGAGCAATGAGTGAACAAGTGAGTGAGTTGGGTTTTAACGCCGCTTTTAACATTATTCCAGTTATATCACGGCGTGTCAGCTTAATAACGATCTTATTATGATTGTCATAGATAAAAATATTTTAATGAGGCATGTGCTCAAAATACAGTGCTGGCAGCATGCACTCTGCTACTATGCACATTGTCTCAGGCTGTCGTCACTGCTTAAATATTCAGACAGGATTCCAAACAAAGTGCCCTTGGCAGGCAAATTGGAAACTGTTTTTATAAAATGGTCATTTTTAAGAATTCAAATGTATTTTAACACTATGCGCCTCTGAACAGGTCTAGATAATTCCCTGTCAGATTAGGCCATATGAACCATTCCCAGTGTTTCTGTTTTGTTTTGGAATATACCAGACATTACCAAATTTTTCATTCAGTTTCGTTGGTTGATGCATGTCATTGTATCCCAATTGCATGGATCGATGCTCATGACATCAATGGATTGTCTGGTCCAGACTTGATTCTTTAGAGACCACATCATACAGCTAGAATATTGCTGAGTGCAGTTTTAACAACAAACAAACAAACAACAAACATAGGTTGCTGAAGACCAATTTTAACCCAGGTCTTCAGGGGGTATGTACAAGTTGTACCAGTACTTACACCAAATCCCAGCCCACCTGGGGCGCCTGGCTGTGGGGCATAGGGGAGTCCTCCTGGGGCGGAACCATATGCTGCTGCTGAAGCTGACTCAGGTGTGGGCATTCCCACCTGGCACAACACATCAGTAAGTAACAGTGAAAATACATACATGTTTATATACATACAGTTCTCAAATCTGAAACAAAATTACAAACTTTCAGCTGAATGGGCATACAGAAATTTCACTCAATAGATATTCTTGTTATGATAGGGAATATTGGTGTTGCCTTTTAGCTCATATCCATATCATAAACATTTCATGCTTCAGATAATGAAATTAAATTATTTCAGGCCATAACAACTTTTCTTTCGTGTACATGTTGTATGGTCAATAGTGCATGCATGTAATTTCAAACAAGCTTGATGTGGTCGCTAAATTTTGGCCATGAGAACGAAGAAAAGACTTTGTGAGAAGTTATCTCTTTAAAAAAAAAAGAGCTCAGGGACACAGGGGCTCTAGTTGAGTATAAACATGACTTGCCCTCTAACCCTGCAGAAGTTTTTGATGTTTTTGTCACATGTATTTCATACAAATTATAATGTATTTTATCTGAAAAGGAAGTTTATCATGCCAATATCAAGGTTCGGTTCCCCCCTCCCCCACACACACACCCACACCCACACCCACACCCACACCCAAAATGACCTGATGCTCTAGCACCAGCAAGTGTGACAATGCTCACCGGTGCCCCTGGGTAGCCACCTGGGGCTGCGGGGTAGGAAGGGGCACCTCCTGCAGGAGGGTAACCACCTTGACCTGGGGGGTAGGCTCCACCTGCTGGGGGGTAGCCACCGGGTGGTCCATAGGGGGGATAACTCATGTCTGTTTTTCCTAAAAAACAAACACAAAGAAAACAGTAATTCATGACACACCATCTTTCAATTGTATTCAAAATTATTTTCTCAAATGTCTTCAATGGGCCATCATTCCACTCTGACTATTTCTTCTACACTAAACAATATAGTAATATTTTATCCCATCATCCTTGTGGCTTTGAAGATTGATGAACTACTGACATTGTTTATCTCAATCTATATACATGTATTCACTGGAAATCAGAAAACAACACTCACTCGTCACTTATTCATATTTATGTCTAATCTTTGTTTAAGTCATGAAAACAAAAGTAGAATTGTAACCATTTTAAAATTGGACAGCTACCCGGTACATATAAATCTGATTGTTTCCAGCCATCATGCATGCTGCCAATACACTTGGCTCCAATTGATGATGAAACTGAGAACATATTGGCTTTGTCAATTGCGAGTGACTTAGTTGTGTTTAATGCCGTTTTAACAGTATTCCAGTTATTTCACGGTGTGTCAGCTTAATGTGGGAGGAAAGCCCAAATGATGCAGGTCTCAAACGTTTACCACTTCGGTGAAACCAACTAGCATGGGAATGGTGCTGACAAACCTAGAAACATAATCGGGGCGACCCTGGATTCGAAACCTACAATCATAGGTTTCTGCTGTGCCCAAGGGACGCAACTCTGCACAGCGAATCGCGACGCCTTAGACGACTGGGCCACCCGTGCCCCCGGCTTTATCAATAGGCGAGGTGATCAGTTTTGCTGGTATATTGGTTTACTGATGTACAACATCAAGGGTTTATCTGGACCTGCTCAGAGTCAGAGGTGGATATTTAGCCCCGAAGTCTGTAACAAATATCAGTCAAAATTTCCCTACTCTTAATATTCAACTAATGTTATCGCTTTGTTGAGGTGATTTGTATTTCCCTGGCTACAAAATCATCCTTTTGTTACTGTCACTAAGGAATTAATATACATTTTAAATTAACATCGTTTATAGTGCATGTGTTAAGTTACAGAGTAGTTTTTTTCTGTGTCAGATAGTGGCAACATAATGTGGTACTAGCTGTGAAGTCGTAGATATGTAAGGTGAGGTGAGGTGAAATTGGGTTTAACGTTGCGTCCAAGATTATTGCACTTATATAGCGACGTGCATGCAAGTGTGTGTGTTTGTGGCTGCTTGTACTAGTCCGGACTGATGCTGATTTATAGTGCTAGCCCACTGGGATACCATGCCGCAGTTTAACAGTTTAATACCCCACTCAGACGCAGTATACTGACTCCAAGCCAACCAGTCCTTGTTTTAGCCCCTTAATGCTGAGTGCCAGATAGGGTAACAACAAGTACCATCTTTTACTTTTAGCGTCTTTTGGTATGACGCGGCTGGGGATCGAACCCCAGACCTTCCGCTCTCCGGGTGGACGCTCTACCACTAGACCATGGAGGCAGTCTCGGAGATATGTTCTGCGCTGCTTTCAACATCTACTGAACTTTTGGCTACAAAGCCTTCTTACAGTAACTTTCTTGCTTTCGAGGGCAGATTTTCCAATTGATATATTTGGTCATCAGCTGATCATAGCCTTGCTGTCATGAAGGTTGAAACATTGTCCCGCACCTTTTTTTTTCTCCAAGAGAAGTTTTTAATTTCATAGTTGCTTTTTGTAGTTTTTGACCAAAATAGGAAATAATGACTTCCGAATACATTTATAAATGAAGCGACTTCCGAATACATTTATAAATGAAGCACAAAAAAATCAATAAATTGTAAATAATTCAGAACAAGTACAATGACACGCCATGGTGAGAGTTGGATTCCCCAGGGCCCCGTTCGACAAAGCGATCTTAGCGCTACGACTATCGTAAGCCAGTGTTAAAGTATGGGAGTTACGATCACCTTAGCACTAAGATGGCTTTGTGGAACGGGGCCCTGGAGAAAATGACCCCCTATTTTTTAAAATGACCACTCTTTTGTCTCTAGTGTCTCTAAGCCCCTCTATTAGTGTTCACTTGAATGAACACGGAGAGCAGCTAGCAGACAGAACATCACAATAAATATGTGGTACCTATTTCAAAACTGGCTTACTCTGTATTGCAATTACGCAACACCACAACATTGCGAGTCTATGTGTAGTAATGAGACTGGCACCATGTTGTATCACGGTTTCGTCGTCATGTATATATTCCTTGATCATTATTCCAGTCGTTTTATAATCCATGACAGCTGTAATGCCACCGACAAATACATGATACATTCTACCTAAGATGAATGTAGTAGCAAGTTAATATTTTTATTCTGTAGACATTGCTATATAAGTAGACTGCTAGTCTCGACGAGGCTTATTTCCTAATCCGGTGTCCATGGCCTACATACTGTCGAGAGGCCGATTTGATTCACCGCCATATCATCAAATAAATGAGCAAAACAAGCCGAATTATTAACAACTATATAATACAGAACATACCTTCGGTGTCTATTCAGTCCAACTAGCACAACCTGTCTTCAACTAGCCTGTTTAATATGTGAAATTGAAGCGAAAACACACTCCAGGCGTTTCTTCTTCCGTGAACGCTATTATTTCCACATACCAGTTAGAGTTACTCCCCTTTGGTGCGTTTGCGAGCGACGGATGAATTAAAATGGGAACGTAACCTAACTTCATATTCATGTTATTCAGTTTATCAAATATTCTATAGCGTGAATCAACTGAAACAGAAAATACACACAGTATGCACAAGCATGAATACTGCAATACGATCATCTTTTATTTAAGTTATTATTTTGAGTTCATGAACAAATCGCATAAACGCATCCACTGATAAAGCATTGCGAAAGTAATCCTGACGTCAGAAACCACTGGTGAACGTCATAATCGATTCATTCCGTGTCATGTGATTAAATGCTCACAATAGCTGTAATTACAACACGCCTACCTGTCATCCTGTCAATTAATGCGCAAATGTTCACAGGGAGCCAAAACGTTAGACACAATAATACCTTAATTAATAATTGCCTCTGTCTTTAATTATTAAACATAAAATCTTATTCACTGAAAATAACGTAATAATTGTTCACGAAAAAAACAATTGAACACGCAAAGCAAGCAAGTTGCTATTATTGGCTTTGTGTGCCACATTTATTGTAAACATCCGTTCAAATTTCCTTATCCGATCGAACAGATATGGCTCTTCCAAAATCATTGCTTTTTAGCTTAGAGGATCGCCGATGCGACGTTAAATTTAACTCACCCACTCTTTCAAGAGAGCACCAAAGAAAAATGTCCGACTATGAGTTTCTGAGTTTCATAAAATTAGTATTACACGGGAGCGAGTTAAGTATTTTATGTATTACTTACCGTTTAGCACTTTTTAAAACCTCATTTTTTAAACTTTGGGAAGTCCTACCATAAACCAGTCCAAGCGTAAAAATACAATATTTTAAACAGGCAAATAATAAAGGCAGATAAAACTAGGCAGATTTCCACAGTATGATCCAATTGAGTTAACAGAATAATACACCTTCGAACACTTTAAAAAATTATAAAATCTATTAATTTAATACCATGCGATGGCCTACCTTTAGAATTCTGCACCAAAAAGTTTACAAACACGTCACAAAAGCCTATGACGTAATTTGTGACATTTTGTTGCAAGATACACCGGCGAAACAATGCCCTGTGACGTCAACCTAGCAACAAGTTTGCTGGGGACATAAGCTCCTCTCAGGGACCTGTCGACGCTAGTCCCGGTAGTACATAAGCATGCGCTTTGGTATTAAACAATGTAATACCAGATAATTGTCATTAAACAGTGGTAACTTCAACGGGCGAGTTATCTATATTTCTTATATACTACGCCACTCGTGAGAATTTTGACTTTCGTTGCGTGAAATCAGTATGGCACATATAATAATATCTGTATAATTGGCGACTAATGGGATCGGGTGGTCAGGCTCGCTGACTTGGTTGATGCATGTCATAGATCCCAATTGCGTGGATCGATGCTCATGTTGTCAACTACTGGATTGCCTGGTCCAGACTCGATTATTTACAGACCGCAGTCATATAGCTGGAATATTGCTGAGTGCGGCGTTCAACAACAACAATAAACAAACAAACAAACCATATAATTATGTCCCCATAATGTAATCAGTATAAATAAACAATGGCACTGAATACTAGTATATCGGATTTCCCAAGCTCACTTGATACAAATGTGATTCGATATTTAGGTTATAGAACAGTCTTAAGTTGATGATGACGGCATTTCATTATTATATTTTATTTCATTTCATTTTATCAAACATGTTTTCCGATGTCATAGTCATCGATGCTGTTTGCAAACCCCACCGCGTTTATTAATCTGCCTGTAGGAGTCACGTCGTGTATCCTGGTGTTGTTTGTTTTAAAGGTTTTCCGTGACGTGGTGTGACGAAGCAGTAGGTTAATCACGTCTGTAGCTGAGAGAGTCACGCGTGGGTGTACCAGCTGAACGTTGATACTCAATCTGCTGTCACCGCTATTACGTGTGTGCCTCCCTTTACCGTAGATTTGTCTTAGGTCTTCACAACCCTTGGTTCTTGTAGAAACCGTGAAATAATATATACCGTACATACTGTCTGATGTTTTGTCTTACAGAGTTCAAAGTGAGGATCTGTTGACCAGAACGAGGGTACGTGTGGAAGATTGAACAATTTGAAATATCCGCTTTTACCCTTGTCCTGGCTGATCTAGTGTACCATCATACCCGGATGGCGTGGCTCGGACAGGCAGACGGACGGACGGACGGACGGACACATATATACATCGTACATAAATACACACACACACACACACACACACACACACACACACACACACACACACACACATACATACATACCAACACCCAACACCCACTGAACGGTTCAAATGACCCTACTCCTCACAACTGTGCAGCTCGAAATGTATATTTAAATCTCTATGGTTATTTCGCAGACAAATGTTTGAATAAAGGAATGTATGCCAGTACAGCGCGACTGCCCCGAATTCACCGAATTGATTCACCGACGCTGCACCGTCGGGTGACACACTCAGCAAGGTCACACCACCCCATTCATATAGGTATACCCTCGTTAAATGTAGGTTGCTGGGAGCCCATAGTACCTCTGAATCATTGTGTGGGTATATTGACTGACGCGGAAATAGACTTTTAAAAAAGGATTGGTGTATTTATTTCGCAAATCGTGATGGGTCTGTGATTTTGTAATAGTGATGTAATCCGTTTGCACTCGAACATCAATTACAGATCCGAGTGTAGAGAATGTTTCAGCAGAGGCCATAACATATTTCATGGTCTCTGGTTTCAGTATGCTCTTAATGCGCGCGTGTTCGTGTGCGTGTGCGTGTGCGTGTACGTGTGCGAGTGCGAGTGCAAGCTGGCCGCCACCAGCATCGCATCCATTTTTATCAGTAATGGCTGCATACTGTCGACACCTGGGGTATTTGTGTAACGCGGGGCGCATTGACCTGGGTTTTCGAGGACGCAGGGACATAAAGCACACAAATGCACACCCATACAAATATATAGTCATGACGTGATATGCCCTCGGGAGCGATACCTATTCATTACTGTAAAGGGACGTAAAAGGGTCTTCGATCTATTGTTTGTTTATTGAAGAGGTGGTAATGATTATCAAAGCCATTTATGGTGAACGGAAAAATCTCAGTAATGGATCTGGAATACAACTTTGACTAGGTGAGCTGAGGTTAAATTTGGTTTAACGTCGTTTAAAAGATTATTTCACTTACAGCGACATGTATAGGCACGTGCTGCAGTTTAACCTAAATCAGACACTGTATTCCGAGCCGACCAGCGCCAAGCAGGGTAACAACAAGCACGTCTTTTAACGACTTTGGGTATGACGTGACAGGAGGTCGAACCACAGACCTCCAGCTCTCCGGACAGAAGCTATCCACTAGACCACGGAGACAATCTATGACAAACAAGGGAAACTGAGAACTGTTCAGGAAAAATAATGTATGGAGATGCAGGAGAAAAAGTATCCTCCATTCTTCAGTTAGAGTGCTTCTCTATCCTCCTCGACCCCCGGTAATTTATTTGGCGTTCAGAGGGAATCATGATATGGTCACTTTAAAATCTCTAGAGAAGGTAATTAAAAATATTACACATATTTGGGGAGGGTCATGTTTATAAATGGGCATTATGTAATAAAATAAGTTGCTTTTGCATTTTGTGAGTGAGTGAGTTGGGTTTAACGCCGCTTTTGACATTATTCCAGTTATATCACGGCATGTCAGCTTAATGTGGGAGGAAAGCCCGAAGTGATGCAGGTCTCCGACGTTTACCACTTCGGTGAAACCCACGAGCACGGATGTGGTGCTGACAAGCCTAAAAATATAATCAGAGCAAACCGGGATTCGAACCCATATGTTTCTGGTGTGCCCAAGGGACGTAACTCTGCACAGGGAATCGTGGCGCCTTTAGACGACTGGGCCGTGCCCCCTTGCATTTTTCTTTTCAGGGAGGGTCATGAACAATATGTTCAAGGACATGGGGAGGGTCACCCAAGAATATGACAAGCATAATTATAAGAGCATAGTGCAACAAACCCGTATGTTTCTAGGTTTCTGGGGCGGTCGGGTAGCCTACTGGTTCGCTCGTCACGCCGAAGACCCGTGTTCGAATCCCGACATGGGTACAATGTGTGAAGCCCTTTTTTGGTGTCCCCCGGCGTGATATTGCTGGAATATTGCTAAAAGCGGCGTAAAACCATGCTCACTCACTCACTCATTCTAGGTTTTTTCCTTTTATTCAAATTAGAGTTGCGTCCCTTGGACACGTCAGAAACCTTTAATCATAGGTTCGAATCCAAGTTCATCCCGATCATGTTTCTAGGTGTGTCAGCACCATTCACGTGCTCGTGTGTTTCACAAAAATGGTAAACGTTTGAGACCTGCATCCCACATCAAGCTTGTGTTTTAATTGGAATACTGTTCTTTGCCGCGTTAAACCGAACTCTCACTCCAATCAAATTATACCCTGCTGTCTCAGTCTTCGACATATGACATGAATTATTTATTAATATCCAGACGACTCTGATCGATATCAGATGAATCGAAATAATAGATGATTAGATTCCTATTGTGGTCTGGTCACGTTGTTGGATCGCTATTACCAGACGTAACACCATTTGCAGGCCGGATTTCGTAGTGCTGTTGTTACCTTGTCGTGCCATGATTTCGCCACTCGCGGGATCGAATCCAAGATCCAGTCTTATTATATTCCTTCGCTTTTCAGCACCATACCTGTGATCGCGGGTTTCGCCACAGCAGTATTAAAACGTCTATGGCCTGCGTCAGTTTTGACTTTTCTTCTAAATTCCGTGATAAGGCTAAACCATAACAAACTCGGGGCGGTCGGTAGCCTAGTGGGTAAAGCGTTCGCTCGTCACGCCGAAGACCCGGGTTCGATTCCCGACATGGGTACAAAGTGTGAAGCCCCGCCGTGATATTTCTGGATTATTTGTAAAAGCGGCGTAAAACCATACTCACTCACTCTGTTATAACGCTGGGTAATCTAGAACCGATATCCAGTATATACATATAATTTCCATTGCTAGTTTGTGAGAATGTATTGGCAATATACAGAACAGGTAAGGACATAATAGCATGCACTTCAGGATTCTGTTAGACCTTGTACATATTTCAAGCGACACTTAACAAAAGACAAAAGAATGAATGCATGTGTTTCTTTGTTTGTTGTTTAACGCCGGACGTAGAAATATTCCAGCTGTAACATAGCGGTCTGTAAATAATCAAGTATGGGTCGAGCAACCCAGTGATTGGCATCATGAGCATCAATCTAAGCAATTAGGGTACGATGACATGCATCAACCAAATCAGTGAGATTGACCACCGGTTCTGTGAGTCCCCTCTTTGGACAAGCATAGGTTGACTGGCACCGATTCTAACACAATTCTTCATTGAGAAATGGATGTGAATACTTCATTTCGAAGTATAGAATTTAATATAACATGTATAATATAATTCATCTAATTTATTCAAGTATTTCTATTTTCCCCATTGCCTGTTTGAACGTCTGATTGACTGATTTCATGCATGAGAGGAAGAAGAGTGTATATGTGAATATAATTATGAATGTGGTTTTAGCCGAGATGTATTGATTTATAGTTACTGCAGAATTAATGTTGTAGCTTGTTTACACAGATTTTAGGTACGCTTGATACATTTGTCTTGGCGGCGCTAACGTCTGCATCATACTACTATACACCGGGTAGGAATGATTTTGCATTCTAATATATGTTTATGTGATACTGAGTATCACATCTATTTCATATGACATGCGTATTGCATTTAGATGACTATGTCTCAGCCACATCTATTTGTTTTGAATGTATGCTGTCAATCAAGGAGTTATCGCCCCTTGTTGCTAACTGTCTTACAATCTGTCATTTATATTTCACCTTTATTTGTATAATGAATTGTTTTGAAGCCTCAAGTATATTTTATGACGGTGTATTTATTGAATGCTATATTGTTTCAGGATGTGTTGTTAGACACATGGAATAAAACGTTCTCCCCCCTTATCTGTGTCTAGGAAGTTTGATCAGCACTAATTGGGTTACAACAATTCTGATGAGTAGGGTTTCGAGTTTGAAATTACTCCAAACGGGTGATGAGTTCTGTTGTGAGTTTGAATTACCCCAAACTAGTGATGAGTACTGTTGCGAGTCTGAATTACTCCAAACTAGTGATGAGTACTGTTGGGAGTCTGAATTACCCAACACTAGTGATGAGTACTGTTGCGAGTCTGAATTACTCCAAACTAGTGATGAGTACTGTTGCGAGTCTGAATTACTCCAAACTAGTGATGAGTACTGTTGCGAGTCTGAATTACCCGACACTAGTGATGAGTACTGTTGCGAGTCTGAATTACTCCAAACGAGTGATGAGTACTGTTGCGAGTCTGAATTACTTCAAACTAGTGATGAGTACTGTTGCGAGTCTGAATTACCCCAGACTAAGGGTGAGTACTGTTGCCAGTCTGAATTACCCCACACTAGTGATGAGTACTGTTGTGAGTTTGAATTACTCCAAACTAGTGATGAGTTCTGTTGCGAGTCTGAATTACCCAACACTAGTGATGAGTACTGTTGCCAGTCTGAATTACCCCACACTAGTGATGAGTACTGTTGCGAGTCTGAATTACCCCACACTAGTGATGAGTACTGTTGCGAGTCTGAATTACCCCACACTAGTGATGAGTACTGTTGCCAGTCTGAATTACCCCACACTAGTGATGAGTACTGTTGCGAGTCTGAATTACCCCACACTAGTGATGAGTACTGTTGCGAGTCTGAATTACCCAACACTAGTGATGAGTACTGTTGCGAGTCTGAATTACCCAACACTAGTGATGAGTACTGTTACGAGTCTGAATTACCCAACACTTGTGATGAGTACTGTTGCCAGTCTGAATTACCCAACACTAGTGATGAGTTCTGTTGCGAGTCTGAATTACCCAACACTAGTGATGAGTACTGTTGCGAGTCTGAATTACCCCACACTAGTGATGAGGACTGTTGCCAGTCTGAATTACCCAACACTAGTGATGAGTACTGTTGCCAGTCTGAATTACCCAACACTAGTGATGAGTACTGTTGCGAGTCTGAATTACCCAACACTAGTGATGAGTACTGTTGCGAGTCTGAATTACCCAACACTAGTGATGAGTACTGTTACGAGTCTGAATTACCCAACACTAGTGATGAGTTCTGTTGCGAGTCTGAATTACCCAACACTAGTGATGAGTACTGTTGCGAGTCTGAATTACCCAACACTAGTGATGAGTACTGTTGCGAGTCTGAATTACCCAACACTAGTGATGAGTACTGTTGCGAGTCTGAATTACCCAACACTAGTGATGAGTACTGTTGCGAGTCTGAATTACCCAACACTAGTGATGAGTACTGTTGCGAGTCTGAATTACCCAACACTAGTGATGACTTCTGTTGCGAGTCTGAATTACCCAACACTAGTGATGAGTACTGTTGCCAGTCTGAATTACCCCAGACTAAGGGTGAGTACTGTTGCGAGTCTGAATTACCCAACACTAGTGATGAGTACTGTTGCAATTTTGAATTACCCCAGACTAATGGTGAGTTGGTTAACTAAATAAATACAATCTCCGTGTTAATTGATGATATGTAAGATGGGGGAAAGAACACAATACAGGGACAGTGCACACATCTTTATTTTCAGGGTTGAGAGAACATTTGGTTAACAAATTAATATCAGTAAAATAACATCTTAGTGCTTTCTAAGATATGATTTTAATGAGTTTAGTAATAAATAAATGTCAGTTCTACACGGAAAGTATGACAGGATATATACTTGGCTCAATATGTACATCTGTAGCAACCCTGACAGTTCATGTTTACAATAAACAGGTGTGTACAAAATCTTTATTTCCAGGGTTGATGGAACATTTGGGTAATAAATGCACCTCAGTTCTTTCCTATAATAAAGATGACAGATGGGATCTGCTCAACCAAATATGTACCTTATAAGCAATCCTAAAAAATTATTTAATTACCGGTAATTTATCTCTGGGGATTAACAAGTTCTAGTATCCTGTAAATATGTGTTCTACATTTATATTCTAATAAGGAAGAAAAATATATAAGCATTTGTAAATCTTTTTCAAATCAACCATCCTATTAGCAGACTTTCACAAGATCCTTTAAACAGTTTAGAAACTTAAAAAACAATATTAAAGTCAAACAAAAAGAAAAAACCCAGCAATAAATAATATTTTTTCATTTCCAAAAAGTCTACAATTTAGTTTTGGGCTTCTCATCATTAAGACTCTTATTAGTTTTATTGACACCTCAACAATTCATCTTTGCATTTTTTTACTACAAAATTATTTTTTGTACGGTACTTCTGGAATTTTTTTGCATTTCATATCACTTAATGTGATACTTAAACAATGAGTTTAACATTTGCCAGAGAGCAACTCTTTTTCAACAGATTGACAATTTGTCCCAAAAATGAATTTAAAAACACTTACTACCAACTCAATAGTATTTTAGGTTTTTGTATAACATAATTCAAGACTGACAGCTCACCATAGCTGTTGTTTACAACTGATATCATGAGCTGCACACACATGTGAATGTACAAGACTGACAGCTCACCATAGCTGTTGTTTACAACTGATATCATGAGCTGCACACACAAGTGAATGTACAAGACTGACAGCTCACCATAGCTGTTGTTTACAACTGATATCATGAGCTGCACACACATGTGAATGTACAAGACTGACAGCTCACCATAGCTGTTGTTTACAACTGATATCATGAGCTGCACACACAAGTGAATGTACAAGACTGACAGCTCACCATAGCTGGTGTTTACAACTGATATCATGAGCTGCACACACAAGTGAATGTACAAGACTGACAGCTCACCATAGCTGGTGTTTACAACTGATATCATAATGAGCGCATGGCCATTCTATGGATCCATTGTTTCAGTGACAAATTTCCTCAGATTACAATGCTCCAAACCGTGTCCCAGTGCCCTGACAGAAGGCTCCTCCGACCTTGCCTTCCACAGCTTGAGGAGGCTGCAGATCATCTCCGTCCTGTCCTTGTTCTCATTTGCCTTCCTGGTCGTGTCGATGTCCTCATGACTCAGTCCCAAGTGCAATGCTGTAAGCAAAGAAAACTCTATAGACCAGGGCTATCTTAGCGCTAAGATGATCATAACTCCCCTACTTCATAGACAGTCGTAGCGCTAAGATCGCTTTGTCCAACGGGGCCCAGGTTGAATTTCTTGGTCTTCACATGGTTCTGGTACAAATTTTGCAGGTTAAAATAAAAATTCAATGCAGTTCTTGAACAAATCTACAAGTCAAAATAAGTTCAAAAGCACCCTATTTTTTTCCATATGACTATAGCTGATCAGTCATGGGTGATAGGTATTGCAACACACAACCGTCAAATTGTGTGCATTCTTTAACTTGTTTTGAGTAGTATATACTAATATCATTTTCTAACAGTCATTTCACAAATCTCTGTTAGGAATTATTTCATCAACCTTTATGACAATTTTGAGTAATATTTTCCCATACATCTTGGTACATGTATTTCCAAAAAGAAAATCCTCACATAAAAATAAATCAACCTGACTGGCCTCAGGCAGATTATTTACGAGGTCAACTGATCTGCCAACCTAAAAAATCTACGAAATGGCAAGACGAAAGCAAATAACAATCTTGTTGAATGCAAACTCATGTGTTCACCCTCAAAACAATTATGACGTGTACATAAAACATCAAACTGCAAGACCACCAATTCTGACTTGATGAACATGGCAAAACCATATGAAGAAAAATGTTACCAAAACAGGATCAAATGGAAATGTCTTTTAGCGTTGAGATACTGACCTAAATATTCCAAAAATAATTGTAAACTAACAAATAAAAAATTACTTTTCACCTTTCGGTCAATTGTAGATTGAATTACGTACACACGATGTTTTGTGATCATCATAGGGAGACACCACAAACCCATTACAACAGGGGCCACAGGTGGCCAAGTTTCCTAAGGCAGATACGAGTCCTTTAGGGACGCCAGAAACCTATGATCACATATACGGTAAACTATGGTTATAAAGAACTCAAAGGGACCACTAATTTTAGTTCGTAATAACTGTAGTTCGTTATAAGCATATATGCAACATATACAACAAATGGCCGGGACTAAAAACAAGTTCATTATATGGGTAAGCATGTTCGTTATGAACATAGTTTACTGTTCGAATTCTGGTTCACTCCTATCATGTTTCTAGGTTTGTCAGTACCATACCCACGCTTGTGGATTTCACCGAAGTGGTAAACGTCTAAGACCTGCATCACTTCGGGCTTTCCTCCCACATAAAGCTGATACGCTGTGATATAACTGGTATACTGTTCAAAGTGGTGATAAACCAAACTCACTCACAAGTCCATAAATCTTTCCAGACTAGTTCTTATGTAACAAAAACATGAATTGTGTGAAAACAAGTGACAGGATTTGATGTGGCTGTGTCTAGCCCTGAACATGTGTAAGACATTTGGGGCAATGTTTAATCATATATAATAATGCTGATTATTTGTGTTCCTTTCTGAGTGCCACAAAACATCACTCACTCAGTCAATGAGAGATATAAACAACATTCCTCACCTAACTTTTTGTATTTTTCATCTTCGAATCGGAGTTTGTTGGCAACTCTCTTCAATTCATCATCTGTGACTGTTCTCCTTGAACCTAGAATAAAAAATAGCATAATTGCAAAATGTACATCGTTCAATGAACTTTATAGGGCTTAACAGGCATTTTAAAAGTCTGAAATAGGATACAATGAGTTACTTTAACATGACCTTTCTCGAAAATAAACAAAATATAAGCATGTTTATAAACTGATAATTATCATTAGTTATTGATCAGTTGGGACAAATCAGTTGATAAGCCCATTCCCACAAACACTTGTGTTGAGAAAGAGTTAAAATTGAAAATAAAATATCATTGATTCATCATAAGAACTTGCTGTAATTAGTGGTTATCACAAATTTAGTAATACGAAGTGTAATATTATTGTAATTTTATTATTATTTGTTCATTTTATTATTATTCGTTATTATTATTATTATTTAATTGTTTCATTTACTTGTTTCATTTACAAAAAATAATTCCTGAATAATAAAAACAATGGGTTTAATTTCATGTTCAATAACTCTGGTCCCCTTCAGATTTTTTTCATTCTTTCTATATTTGCAAGGTAAAAGTGAAAAAAACCTGAGTCTTCTTTTGTGCGTATATATGCATGTCTAGGAATGGGTCTTTCCCCAAGGACATTTCCTTTTCCACGGTAGCAAAGTTCAAACATGCAAATACCATTGTAACTGAAAAGATCTCTTAACTTCACACACCAGTTTCAAAAAAGGAAAAACATTTCTTTTGACACTGTCTGTGTCACCAACACAAATTCTTTTCCAGGTTGAAACAAACAGATTTTGAGGTTGAATTCTTGATGTTTGCTGCCACTACTTTGACTTATAACAAGAGTTATTATTTCGCACATATCTGACACCTGTCTGACAAGTGGTGGGTCAGACAAATTGGGGGTCAGACAAATGGTGGGTCAGATAAATGGGGTTCAGACAAATGGGGGGTCAGGCAAGTGGTGGGTCAGATAAATGGGGTTCAGACAAATGGGGGGTCAGACAGTGGTGGGTCAGATAAATGGGGTTCAGACAAATGGGGGGTCAGACAAATGGGGGGTCAGACAAAAGGGGAGACACCTTTATACCAGTATATTATCACAAGGCATTGGACAAACACATTTCAAATTGATTATTGTACATATTGCTTGAGATTTGTATGTTTCATCCATCTATGACCACAAAAGGAATACATACCTAAAATGTCCATGTATCTGTCTGTGTTCACGTTTGTGCGCTGATTGTTCCTTGACTCTTCATCATCGGAGGAGGAGGAGGAGCTGGGGGAGTAATGGGGGGGACGCCAGTTTGGCTGGTTGTTGTAGCTTTGTTGTTGTCTCGGAGTCCGCCGAGTCTCTCGGAACTGCACAGAGTCCTCAATACGCCCTTTCTGTATGTAGTAGATGTCTCTCTGGCCTGTGTTGTTGTCAATGCAATCAAACACGTTGATGGTGGCGTTTTCAAGAAGATACACAAATTGGTTCCTGATCACCACTGGAAAATACAACATAGGGTTGGTAAGACAGGAAGCAGTCCCTGGCACCAGAAAAGTAATAACATGATATAAAAATTGCCCCAATGCACAGTCAGTCATGAGTCTACATATTATATGTGAGTGAGTGAGTGAGTTCGGTTTAACGCCGCTTTTAACAGTATTACAGTTATATCACGGCGTGTCAGCTTAATGTGGGAGGAACGCCTGAAGTGATGCAGGTCTCAGACGTTAACCACTTCGGTGAAACCCACAAGCACGGGTATGGTGCTGACAAACTTAGAAACATAATCGGGGCGAACCGGGATTCGAACCCACAATCATTACTCTGCACAACAAATCGCGGCCCCTTAAACGACTGGGCTACCCGTGCGCCCCTTTATATTATATTATATGTAGTGAAATCTTTGGGCATCAGGCAAAGTGAGTGTGGCTGTTAATTGGCTTTGTATTTGTTGTTTTTGAACGCTGCACTCAGCAATATACAAGTTTTATGAGAGCGATTAGTAAATCATCAAGTCTGGACCAGACAATCCCGTGATTGATATCATGATCTTCAATCTACACTTTTGATACGATGACAAGCATAAACCAAGTTACCGAGCCTGATCACCCCTACAACATGGGTTGCTGTAGACCAATTCTAACCCGGATCTACAGGGGGGTGACATGTCAGAAAGTCATCTGTTTGATATCACACAATAGTATGATATCAATGTATGGAACAAGTATTCATGCAAAATATTACCACATTTGGTAACTCAGATTTTGACATAGTATTTCCTCTACATCGTCAACATTGGTACAACATACAGTGCCCAATCATGATTATATTCTTACCACTTGGTTGCCGGGCCATGTTGATTTGTGTATTAGATGACAGCAGATCTTGGAATGACTGGTAACTGAAAAATCAAACAATAATAGAATAGTAACTGTACTCCCATGACTGCTGTCAGTCCTGTCTGCTGAGTTTCTGGGGTAGATCTAGTAGATCTATATACGTGTATCGTTACATGTATCGAAATGCTTAAAAATTGTTTCTAGAGAGGGATTAGAGTAAGGGTGTAAGCCTACAATTAAGCGGTTGAACAAATATTCTAGTTGGCTACTTGTTGCAAGAAATGTTGGAACTAATTAAGTAGCAGCTTGAAAATGATTTTTTATGACAGTTGGTTCAGCGTTGTTGGATGAAGCACCATTTTCATTTTGTGAAGTTGTTACAGCACAATATCGTTACAGCATAATATCGCGGAAATGACTGAATTCAGTAATATGACTAGGCACTTTTCGGATTCATATCTATGAGCACTGATGACTAATTACCTTTATAGCATTCAGCTCAAGTTTGCTTTCACTTCAGAATTTGACTGGGAAATCGCACAAGGGGATTCCCCAACATTCGACACATCCTTTCCGCGTTGAGCTAAGATAATGAACCCTCAAAATATTGTGACCCTCACCGATCAGGTTATTCCATAACAATTTACACAAAAAGGTATGGTAATGTTAATAATGTAATATATAGGTGGAGAAAATGTTGTGGCTAATATCTTAAATATTAAATTATGTTTCATGTAAGAATGATATAACCACCTTGCGTTTATAAAGTGACCAGTATGACAGGGTCAACAAATACCATAAACACCGCCCGCGTTTTACCGATACAAGCCGAACGTTGAATCGCATCATTCCGTGACGAATAGCCTAGACTGAGCACCTGTCTACATAAAAGACTAAATGCGTTGTTTGTCGCGCGAAGTAATCATGGAACCAGTTCGAAGATCGTCCGGTCTTCACGGAATTGCACGATTGGGCACGAGTGGTCACGAATGCTAAACGCACTAACGATCAACTCGCGTTGTATTGGTTTGCTCCAGAGGAATTTAAACACTGAGTACGTCGTGGAATTATGACATGGGTCACCCGTGAACCATCTTCTGGATGAACTCAGTGTGTGCATGCACTTATCTCTGTATATTACATAACATGTCATGATATAAACAATGTACCTGTGTCAATAAGACCGTTCGAACAAAATGTCAAACAATTTGTGGTACAGCACTCAAAGTTTAATACTGATTGACATGTTTACTTTTCTTATTATTCGGCAACTTGAGGTACAGTGGATTATCAAACAGTTGTGGTAGGGTAAAAAACATAGAGACAGACTGAATAAAAATTTAACTCAGTGAAAATACATTTGCATTGTCGGGTACTGCAAAATAAATATACAATATATTGCTGCTTTGGTAGGCATTTAGAAGTTGGAGTACTAAGTAAGGATAAGATTTATGGATGAACAACTTCTTTATTACAATTAAGAGCGACGTTATCAAGCAAGTGATAGATACTTCGACGATAATTGTCTTTACTACCCTTGTGTGTACATAACAGGCTTCTCCACTCCAGTATAACTACATCTGATATCTACTCAACTGTATAAACTTTGCCCCCTACCTGTATATATACGTGTCAATCATACTCTGTATATCACTGAAACGTCGCTCTTAATTGTAATAAAGAAGTTGTTCATCCATAAATCTTATCCTTTATTATATACGTGTTTAGCTGACTAATTCCGATGACTGGAGATCTCTTTAATGGAATTATTTCTATTAACATGTCCGAATGCATTGCCTAGACATATTTTGAATTAACTACGAGCTATAAATAAATGTTTCACCAATGTCGCGACTAGTTTAAATAGCGATATTCACTCACTCATGCACGTGTGATTATGCCATTTTGTTCTCGCTACGGAACTATACTACAATGTACACTCGTTAATCAACGATTGCGGATAATAGTGAAGCCAGTGGTTGTCATGTCAACTGAAAATGAAAATTCGAGTTAATCGGCATAACCATCAGCAACCAGTAAAGTCTCGATCAAGCAGGAACGTCCATGGGAGATAACTCTTTTCATTTTTACATTTTGCCCGGCTAACGACATCCGGTTGCAAAAAAAGTAAACATGCTTCGGCGAAGTTTGACGTGTGTTTGTCGATGTTCTGGTCGTCTGATGTCGCCCTCAACATCACATATGACCAGAATACTGGCAGCGGGCTATAGGAGTCAATACAGTATCGACAAGATATACCCAAACAGCGAGCAAGACTACCTTGGCTCAACAGCATTCACGGTTCGTGCACAGGTGGATAAATTGTCCTAATTTCGATCACATTGATCATTTCAGAAGGTGAATTGTAGCTTTGTCAGGGACGCTACGTCAAACCGTGTCTATTAGTTGATAGGTAAGGGTACACTATTTATAAACAATGTCAGAAGGAGCGAAAAAAGTTTAGTGGAATCAGTAGAGGACATAGTCACATATCCCTAAAACAAACAAACCAACAACTCATTTTGCAAAAGTGTCCTAATAATTGCTCAGAGCAACATAAAAACATAAGCCCTTTCTTAAAATATCCACTTCTGGGTGCAAGTAATAACTCTACAGGGGATAGAAAGTGTGAAATGATTTTGTGGAATTTAAGTTTATTTGATTAGAAAAAATCAATTTTATTTATTTCCTCTCAAGCATGCAGCCATTTTTCCTCAAAATATCAGAAATACAAGAACTGATCTGAACCAGCTGATCATTTAAACTGTACTGGCTAGTGACCATCCAATGGACATCCATTTTATAGACGCCTTGGTGGCTGAGTGGGTAGATGCTAACTTTTGTGTTGGGTCGATTATGCGATTAGGCGATAGGACTCCCTATCTTAATATCGTTTCCAGTATCAAGTATAGTGCAGTGTTCGAAATACCTGCCTGCCCGACCGTCCGAGACGGGTTGATTTCAACTCGGGCTGCCAGATTTTCAAACCCCCCCTGCCCGACGGTCAGGTTATATTTCATATGTGACAATATTCTAAATATTTCCCGATGATAATCATTAATTCACATGTAAAGATGAATGATAAAATGTAACCAAAAAGAAACCCTGTTAGTTTATCCTGAGAAACATATGATTATAGTGGGCAGGCAGGTTTTGGTCAGGGCTGGCAAGTATTTCAGCTAGCCAGTCCTGTGGTCTGGCTGAAATTTTTGGGAGTTTCATACCCTGGTATAGTGTCAGTTATATTTTATATAAATGCAGTCAGAAACAGCCTATATCAAACATGCCTCCCGTTGCCATGTGATTCCCATTCTGATTCATTGAATGATGTCCTGTTCCTTTTTTTTCAGCATTCAAGTTCTGTCACTCCGGATGGGAAAGAGTTGTTCTCAGGCTATATTCCAATAAGTATGTAGAAATAAACTTTCATCATCTCAAGATTCCTAACGTGTAGGATACTGGGACTATCACAGCTACAACACATTTGCAGTGTATCATGTATATAGTTCTGTCCAGGAGTAGTCAGGAATCTCTTGTACAGCTCCCCAGTTCCCGAACTATTCATCTCAAGGTCCACCTCAATATTACAAAGAAAATATATTTTGTTAAGATTAATGGACCAGACCACACGTGCATGTGTACATGGTGATGATTTTACAGCTACAATTATTACTGCTGTTCAATAAATTGTTAAATTAGAAGACGATAGTTATAGGAATGATAAGAATGTCATGCACTAAATGGGCACATGTGCATAGTTTATCATAGAAGTATCATGTAAACAACCATGGCAAGTATAATCCTGTAAGTTTCATGCATAAAACAGGAGATACTTTTAGAGGTCAAAGGTTATAGCTAGGTCATATTTTGGCTGTAAGCTTGAAGCGAGTAATCAGCGTTAGAAGTTTTCACTAGTCCTATAGTCCTTGCCAAACTGCCCAATAGTAAAGGTATCATAAGGACAAGTAGAAATTTGCCATTTTTAAGGGTTTTGCTATATGTTATCATTATAAGGACTAGTGGACTGAAACTGTTAGTTTCTACCGCTGGTAATAGAGTATGTAGACTTGGTTTTATTGGGATAATTGACACTGTATGAAAATCTATATAGTCTTCATTCAGGTATATTTCCTATTTCAGATAAACTTGACATCAAGTACTCTAGGGGAAGTGGGCCAGGAGGTCAGAATGTCAACAAAGGTTTGTCTAATTTTTCGATGAAATAATATTGTCATAAAACATTCATTCATGCCTTCGGGGGCACGGGTGGCCCAGTCGTCTAAGGCGCCGCAATTCGCTGTGCAGAGTTGCGTCCCTTGGGCACGCCAGAAACCTATGATTACATGTTCTAATCCCGGTTCGCCCCGATTATGTTTCTAGATTTGTCAGCACCATACATGTGCTTGTGGGTTTTACCGAAGTGGTAAAAGTCTGAGACCTGCATCACTTCGGGCTTTCCTCCGACATTAAGCTGACACGCTGTGATGAAACGGGAATACTGTTACAATCGGCGTTAAACCCAACTCACTCACCCATGTTCCGTAGAACATTAAAGTAAAATGAAGTTCTCAAGTGAAGGAAACAGTCAGTACTTCTATGGCCAACCAGTATCAAGGATAATCAAATATTCTCTAAAGATTGAACCTGGGTACAAGTCTTATTAAGTTCGCATATTGTGGCCATGACTTTCACCACGGTAGCTTTTAGCAAACAAACATCTGTTGTCCAATCATGAAAATGAGATCTTAGTTCTGAGGTCTGAGGACATCCTACTTACAGGTCTGAGGACATCCTACTACAGGTCGACCCGTGAAGATTCCGGGGTAGAATAGGTCTTCAGCAACCCACGCTTGCCGTAAAAGGCGACTATGCTTGTTGTAAAAGGATCGGGTGGTCAGGCTCGCTGACTTGGTTGATGCATGTCATCGATCCCAATTGCGTGGATCGATGATCATGATATCAATCACTGGATTGTCTGGTCCAGACTCGATTATTTACAGACCGCCGTCACGTAGCTTGAATATTGCTGAGTGTGGCGTTAAACAACAACAAACCAAACAAACCAAACCTACCACAGGTCATGTCAGAATGACACTTCACGAACATTGACTGCCCAATGAAATGCCTAAGAGGAAAGTCAACATTAACCGATCAGAAAACTTATCAGAGCTTCATGAGGCTAGTTTTTCTTCCAGAATATGCTATGAAAAATATCTGAACAAAGTTCTCGATTCAAAATGTGAAAACTGAACAAAAGACAGTTCTGGGATGTTTAACAGGTGACTTGGATTGTATTGCAGTACACTACTTACAGGCTATGGAAAGTTTCCTCCCTGGTACATGTACATGTACATGGTACATCCCATTGAACATGTTGAAATAAGAGATAGATGATGCTTCGTGCTAAATGTCCATGTTAACCTTTTCCAGGTTGTATGGTTAGAAAACATATATTTTTTAACTTATCCTGCATTACTCCGTATTGCATTTACTGCTGTCTTTGACAGAGAGACGAACTGTGTGAGATCCAGCTGCTGAAGAAAGTTGTTTCCATCTGTCCAGGAAGCAGCGCCCCCTCCCACACAGTCGGCACGTGACCCGGAAGACATGACGTCATGTCAAAACTCATAACTGCTTTGTCAACCACATGGATCGGACGTGAACTGTATCCCTCAGTGGAATTATTAAAGAGAGCTTTCTTGGTCCTGACTTTCTTTCGTTTTCTACGACAAAAGTCTGCTGTATTACCTTTGCCTTCATTATATTGTTAATTGGTAATGTTTCTCGCTCGGGTTCTGACTCTCGTCACGGTTTTTCCGAGCGTATTGTTGTTTCCCGCCATTTTGGTTTACCGCCATTTTTTCCTGCCCTGTTGCGATTCACTACATGTCCACGTACTTTCGTGTTTTGTGTCTTGAATTCGCTCTATGGTTGGAGTTTTACATTAAGTTTAATGATTGTTTTCGGCGTGTTTGAAGCGTAATTGTTTGCTCTTATTAACTTTGTAACAAAAGAATAAGTTATGTTGAGTTACATTATGTTTCACGTTGTGTGTTTACACATCGTTATGTTTTTTGCTTCAATTCCAGTATGTCTCGCTGCTCTCGCTGCCGCGGGAATAAATCTGGACGGGACCCCCACCCCTGCTGCCTGGACTGTACAACCCCGTGTACCCTCACAGAGCGTTGCAGTTATTGTAGTCCCCTGTCGCCAGTCGCCTTCACCGCCTACCTCAGAGTGTCTCGGAAACGATTCACCCAGCGTGTGCGTCGACTCGCCAACATGTCATCCAACGTAGAGTCTGCCTCCCATGGCACGACATCCGACCGTACACGGTCTCCTACACCACCCTTACCGTCATCTGCTTCGACATCATCGTCTGCAGCATCGCCCGTTTCGGGTTTCCTGTCACCTCTACCATCTACGACGACAACTCCGGCGCCTCTTGGTCCTGCGCCTCCGGCGCCTCCGATCTACCCGGCGCCTCTTGGTCCGGCGCCTCCGATGTACCCGGCGCCTCCGATGTACCCGGCGCCTCTTGGTCTGGCGCCTCCAGCGCCTCCGATCTACCCGGCGCCTCTTGGTCCGGCGCCTCCGATCTATCCGGCGCCTCCGATGTATCCGGCGCCTCTTGGTCCGGCGCCTCTGATGTCTTCGATGTATACGGCGCCTCTGACTACTTCGGCGCCTTTGACTTGTGCTGCGCCTCCTACTTATGGACATGCCCTTCCGTCATCGTTCATGGATCCATCTTGGATGCAAGCTTGGATGCAGTCATTGTTTGCGCAAGCTCAACCCACCTCAGCGACGCCGACGGTGCCTCCTGCGACGCCGGCGACGCTGACGGCCCCGACTACTGTTACTGCGATTCCTGAGGCCCCCTCCACATCGGGTGCTTCTCGGTCTCGAACATTGTACACCTCGTCGCCTCCGACTGTCTCTCGGCACTCGTCCAAGTCTGCTCGTTCCCGTCGTCGCTCTCGTAGTCGCTCTCGTAGTCACTCACCCGTACATAGACGACGACGTCGTTCCTCCTCCTCGGAAGGATCATTTCGCCCCAACTATGACCCTCCATCTCCCGAGATTGATACACACTTGGGCCTTTCACAGGTTGCTGATTGGTTGGCGGACCGTCTGGCCTCCGTCGCTCCCTCCCCGGGCTCCGATGTGGATAAAAAGTTGACGATCTGGTCTAATCCGACTTCTCTACCACCCGACCCAATGCTCATTGACCTGGTTACGGCGTTGGACGAGGACTTCGCTAGGTTGTCCCTCACGCCGTCGTTCAAGGCTCCGCGTTTCCGGCGGGAAGATTTCCCCGTCCACTCCTTCGACGTGGCCGACGGTGCACATATCCTGGACGAGGACTTACATCGAATGACCGGGTCTTCTCAGTCCGTCACCATACGTATGCCGGACTCCCGACTCGCTTTCGTGGAAACAGAACTGCGCCGTACTTTGAAGCCACTATCTACACTTGCTTCATCTGCCAGAGCCATTGACCAGGATCTCGCTGAATCCAATCCTAACAGGATCGACCACTTGCGCACGGTTATGACGTTCCAACTTCGCCAGATCGATCACATGCGCAATCACCTGAGAGCTGCGCTTGTGGAGATCACCACTACTCGACGGTTGGGTTACTTGACTTCCACGGACTGGGATTCCGAATTCAAGCGTTCCTTACTACGACAACCTTGGTCGGGTCCTACCCTTTTTAATGGTGCTATCTCCGCTACCCACACCCGCGTCTCCAGTTTCGCCAGGGATGAAACTGCTCTCAGAGCCTTGGAGCATGTAACACACCAATCCGCGGCCAAGTCCTCCAAAGGCAACTATAAACCACGCCGTTCCTCCCTCAAGGTCGTCTCCAAACATACCTCGCCCTTTCGTGGGACAGGGCGTGGTCGTGGTAGAGCCCGTGGCACTTACCAACCCCGAAGGGATCGTCGCCCCGGCAAGGGGGCCGATTCCACCTCGAAGCGTTGACCGGCGGCACCTCAACGACTGGGACCTCCCACCCCAAGTCGTTCCGGTAACCGACACACCTGTGGGTGGGAGACTAGGCCGGTTTTGGAGAAACTGGTCCATACTGGAGGACCCGTTCGTCACCGACATCCTCCGTCAGGGGTACCGGCTCCCATTGTCTGCGCTGCCTCCTCTGACGTCTACTCCGTCAACGGCCGCTTATTCACCCCACCAGCTTCGGCCCCTTCACGACAGCATCCTTTCCCTACTGCAGAAGGAGGCCATAGAGATCGTACACGACCCGGCTCGACACCCAGGATTTTACTCTCCGGTGTTTCTGGTGCCCAAGAAGGGGACCACCAGCTGGCGCATGATACACAATCTCTCCACTTTCAACCGGCTCTACCTGGAACGTCCTCCCTACTTCCGCATGACGACGTTGCGACTGCTCAGGACGAGAATCTCAGCTGGCGATTCCCTGATCAGCCTCGACATCCAGGACGCCTATCTTCATGTCCCCATCCACCCCAACGACCGGCGTTTCCTCAGGTTCCTTTTCAATGGTACCCATTACCAGTGGGCGGTCCTACCATTTGGAATTTCTACGGCCCCGTGGCTTTTCACACGGATCACCCGCCCGGTCGCCGCCTACCTACACCTGAGGAACATCAACTTCGATCCATACATCGACGATTGTCTCCTCAACAATCGGGACTCGGCGTTGCTACTGCGTCACAGGGATTTTACCCTGCGGCTCTTCAATCAGTTGGGTTGGATCGTCAATCAGACCAAGTCGGAGCTGATCCCATCGTTCCGTCTGCAGTTTATCGGGGGCCTGTTTCTCACGGATCTCGACCTCCTTCAAGTCCCCAGAGACAGGTGGTTGAAAATCCTCGCTCATCTCTTCCCTGCCCTTCAACAGGCTCGAACTCTCCGCCAATGGCAGGTTCTATTGGGTCTCCTCACGTCGGCTCAAGACCTGACTGCCAGAGGTCGCCTCCAGCTCCGTCCAATTCAACGGTTTCTCGCACCCTTTATCCGGCAGCAGGATCCGGAGTCCCTCATCGTCCTCCCGGTCCACCTCCACCCCTTCCTCCGATGGTGGACGGTGGAATCGAACGTCTGCGGCGGCGTCTCCTTGACCGCGCTACAGCCCTCCCTCCACCTGTTCGTCGACGCATCCAAACAGGGTTGGGGGGCTCATCTGGGGACTCAAACAGTTGCAGGGCTGTGGTCAGGAGATCGACTCTTCTGGCACAGCAACAACCTCGAACTCGAAGCTCTCATACTGGCCGTCTCCCACTGGCAGAGCATTCTCCGGCACGGCCAGTTGGCCATCTCCACGGACAACATCACCGTGGTGTGGTGTCTGAGGAATCAGGGTACTCTCCACTCTCAGTCCCTGCTCAACCAGACCTTCCGATTTTTCGACCTGGTGGACCGTTTAGACTTGCAATTCCTTGTTCAGCACATTCCAGGTTGCCGGAATGTTCTGGCAGACGCTCTGTCCAGGCCGGACAAGGTGGCTCCCACCGAATGGCGACTCCACCCAGAGATCTTCACAGTCCTTTGTCAAACGATCGCCTCTCCAAACATCGATCTGTTCGCCACGTCTCAGAACTGCCAGCTGCCGACTTACATCTCGCCGGTCCCGGATCTGGCCGCTGTAGCAGTCGACGCCTTCAGTGTTCCCTGGGAGGGATTAAGCGCGTACGCTTTTCCGCCTCCGGTTCTCCTTCCTGACACTGATTTTGGTCGCGCCTTGGTGGCTGGCCAGAAGTTGGTTTGTCGACCTCCGAAACGTCGCCAGAGACAACCCTCTAGAACTGCCAGCGTGGTCCAACCTTCTGCTTCACCCACACAGTCGGTTGCCCCACCCAAGTCCCGCTCGGTTTCATCTGCACGCCTGGCACATCTGCAAAAAGCCCTAGGAGCCAAGGGCTATTCGACTAGAGCAGCCAAGGCTATTGCTTTCGCCCATCGTCCATCTACACGGGGACTATATGATGACAAATGGTCCTCGTTCCAGGCGTTCTGCTCTGACAAGCATCAGGATCCGATGACGGCATCCCCGCAGTTCCTGGCTGAGTTTCTTCTATACTTGCGCAGCACGCGTCGATTAAAAGGCTCTACCATCTCCACGTACCTGGTCGCCATTAACTCCGTCCTTGCCATTCCGGACGACCGGAGAATGACGAAAATTCCCGAACTCCAGGCTATGCTGCGCTCGTTTCGTCTCGACGACCAGAAAGCCAAATTCAGACCGCCTGCGTGGGATCTGAATGTGGTCTTAAAGGCTCTTCGGGAGGCTCCCTTCGAACCACTCCACACGTCTTCCTTTTACGACTTAACGAAGAAGACGGTGTTTCTACTGGCCTTGGCTACTGCCGCACGGGTTAGTGAGCTCCACGCCCTCGACGTCTCTCGGGTCAGGTTCGAACGCGGGACTCATGGAGCAGTTCATCTTGGGCTGTGCTGGGACTTCATCGCAAAGAATCAACTCCCCGGACAGCCTGATAGATCCTTCACCATCCCTCCACTTTCGTCGATTGTGGGTGCCGACGACGTGGAGGAGCTCTTATTATGCCCAGTTAGGGCCCTGAAGGTTTTCCTGCGACGCTAAAGCCTGCCGTAAGTCTAGGAAACGCCTTTTCCTACCGGTCTCCCCTTCGTCGCTGTCGGAGGTCAGCCGGAATACTATCTCCCTGTGGCTCCGGGCGGTCATCCTCCAATCTTATAAAGTCGCCGGATTGGACCCCCCCAAGGCTAACAACCCCCACGAGATTCGCGCGGTCGCGTCTACCATGGCTCTGCAGAGTAACTGTTCCCTCAAATCTATCATGGAAGGCTGTTTTTGGCGTTCCGACACCGTTTTCGCCAACCACTACCTCCGTGATGTAGCCTTGGAAGATGTCGCTGGCGTTCATAGCTTTGGTCCCCTGGTGGTAGCTCAACAGGTCACCAACCCCCGACGCCACTGATTCTCCGTTACCCTGAGCGGGGCCCGTCGACCTCTCTGGTGTTTATCACCACAGATTAGAGGGCTCTACTGCGTTCCGCATTCGCTCTTAGGTCAGTGCTAGTTTTGGCATTCCCGCCTCATACTATTTCTGTCACCTATTTCGGGTTCCCTCTTTTGCATCGACTCTCGTTTCCTTTCACAGGAATGGTCGCTGGTGTTCCGGTCATCGCTTGTCCATGCGGTGCGATTTCATCGGACCTTTGTCGAGGGTTTTCTTCTGGCTCACATCTGAAGGTATGCCCACCGGCCGTGCCGTCTGATAAAGATGCAATACGGAGTAATGCAGGATAAGTTAAAAAATTTAGTAAAATCTAAATATTTTTTACATTTGTATACTTATCCTGCATTACGAAGTCTAAGTGCCCCCCCTGCGCTCCGCTTCCTCCCCACGAAGTTTCCGATGTTATGTTAAAGCAGTTATGAGTTTTGACATGACGTCATGTCTTCCGGGTCACGTGCCGACTGTGTGGGAGGGGGCGCTGCTTCCTGGACAGATGGAAACAACTTTCTTCAGCAGCTGGATCTCACACAGTTCGTCTCTCTGTCAAAGACAGCAGTAAATGCAATACGGAGTAATGCAGGATAAGTATACAAATGTAAAAAATATTTAGATTTTACTAATTTGACATTCACGATCTTGTAAACAATGCTCTGATTGGTGGGATTAAAGGTCATTCTGACATGACCTGTAATGGGATGTAGTCAGATCTTTGTTTAGCGATCTGAGATTGTCTGTTGTCTGTATGGTGACTGAATGTTTGCAGTGAACACCAAGGTGGAGGTTCGGTTCCATGTGGAAAGTGCTGACTGGATCCCGCAGTGGATTCGGGAGAGACTCCTGGAGAAGGTGGGTTACCTCCCCTTCCACAAGTCTGTCCCCATCCAAACAATGGACAGTATTGAGTAGGGCTGTAAAGATGCTCATACTTTGAGTTTCACAATATTATAGGTTATATTTATTACTTGCCCGTGAAGAGATAATAAACATACAGCTGTATTACACACTGTGTAATACCAAAACGCGTGCTTATGTACTCTCGGAACACGTTTCTAGAACTAATATTGAAAGCTCTCAACATCCCTTGGCTTATTCAACGACATTGCGTATGGAGATGATAGATCACTGAGAGGAGCTCATGCACACTCGATGACCCGAGCAACCGGTGTTGCTAGGCTGACGTCACATGGCATTGTTTCGCCGAAGGATCTTGCAACAAAATTCTACAAATTACGTCATCGGGTATTGTGACGTGATTGTAAACTTTGAGGTGCAAGGCCCCGTTCCACAAGGCGATCGTACTGTAGCGCAACGACAGTCGTTGGTCTAAGTTAAAGTATGTGAGTTGCGATAACCTTAACGCTACGATAATTTTGTAGAACGGACGCCTGAATTCTAAAGGTGGGCCGTTGTATGGTATTAAATTCATACGTTTCAACTTTTGACGTGTGTGAAGTATTATTGTGTTAAACTCAATTGGATTATGCCGGGGGTTGTGTAGATGTCAGCCTATTCACACTCAACAGTATAATTCTAAAAACGTTATAAATGGCAAGTAATAAATAAAATACTAAACTCGCTTCCGTGTAAAACCAATTTTATGAAACTCGTGAATAGTTGTGGTATCTGACTCGCTTTCGCTCGTCAGATACCACAACTATTCACTCGTTTCATAAAATTGGTATTACACGGGAGCTCGTTTAGTATTCTATATGTATCACATGCGGTGTGGTGCAGTAGTACAAACATAGACCAAAACCATTCAACCTTATTGCACTGAGATCCTTTACTCCGATACGATGCATCTCTGAGGACACTTCAGGAGTCGAATCAGGTGAACTTTCCAATCAGCCAATAAGCCTCAGGACCTCTAAATTCCCAGTACAAGTGAGCAAAGCATTCAAACCAGTATGTCAGATTTCAGTTTCTCAAAAAGGAATTATAAGGACCGGTAGAAGTATCAATTAACATCTTATGTATTGCATAACATTTCCATATCGCCATGATATTAATGGATGATGTCATGTCCACAATTAGCTTGAATCTGCTTAGTGGTGCTTTTAGAACGGTTGAGTCCAGTGAAATGTAGGTCATGTGATGGTCTTTTAGATTGTTATTTATCATCAAAAACTGGCCTTCTACATTTGTTTGTACTTCTTCATGCATTGCATGGTCCATCTTGAATCTCTTGAAAACTGGCCTCCTTGGGAGATATCGCTTGGGTGAGATATAGAGAATCTCAACCGAGTGTCTTTTGATATCAAATATATCAACACGAGTTGATAAAAGTGGAAAAATTCCGAGGCTTGCCACTTTTATCAACAAGTGTTGATATATTTGATATCAAAAGACACTCGGGTGAGATTTTATTTATCATCCAACATCATTTCTTCCAGCTTTTTCAATTTGCAGACAGTAATTAGCAGTGTCTTCACTGTAAAAACTACTGCTAACAGCTTCAGTAGCAGAGCCATTAGTGATGTCATTTGATTGTGACGTCATGGTAACCAGTGTCGTCACAATGGTCTGCAAAGCATTGTGATGCAATTTCATCCAAGCGATATCTCTTGTGGGAGCCAGTTTCGGATGATAAAAAACGATCTCTGCCAGGAGATATTTCAGCAATGAAATTGCACCTCAATGCTTTGTAGACCATTGTGACGCCATTGGTTACCCTGACGTCACAATCAATTGACATCACTAACCTCTCTGCTACTGAAGCTGGTTGGCTGTACTTTTTATGCTTATTTGATAAAGATAACTGCTTATTTAATAAATTAACGAAGAGGGGGGAGCTGTTCATTGTACAATAAAACACTGCAGGGAGAATAAACCATAAGGGGTGCAGCCATTGAGTGGTTTATTCTCTAGACAGTGTTTTATTGTATGATAAACAAAGACCATGAGTCGTTAATATCTTAAATGAGATATCAATATTGTTTACAGTTTCTTTAAGGATGTTAATATAATTTACAAGATTTAAGAATATTTACCCGTATTTAATTAATGATGACTCCCAGAACATGCTTAATGCAATCCGACCTTGGCAATGTCGGACATGTCCATTTTATGAAAAGGAGGTTAAGTTCGCTATTTCTAGGATATTCTCAAAATTTTCACATCGATTATCTGAACCTTTTCAATACTGATTGTCATATCTCTCCCACTTTTGGATGCAGTCTTTTAGCTTTTGCGTTTCTCTATGTTGTCCAGCTACATCTATGGGGAAGGATCCACAAGACACCTTCCTCTAAAAAATAACGTCATCCAATTTACAACGTCATCCAATTTACAACGTCATTAAGCTGCAAGTGCCTGTTCAAATCTCCAGGAATGACGTCATTGTAGAACAATGTTTTCTCGTGAAATAACCAAGCTTCGTTCTTTGTTATTTTTGATTTATTGCATAGTTATCTTATATTACTGTTTACAAACTGAAAAAGTTGGAAGAATGATGTTGGATGGTAAAAAGAATCTCACCCATGAGACCTTTGAATATCAAATATATCTACACAGGTCAATAAAAGTTTAAAACTCCACAATCTCATTAAAATCAGATCTTAGTTCTCGCTATCGCTGAACAAAGATCTGAGGACATCCAATTACGGGTCACGTCAGAACGACCTATCATCCGACCAATCAAAGCCTCGCTTACCAGATCATGAAAGTGACAATTGGAATGGGTTTTCGATCATGCAACCCTCAAAAACGTTAACGAGGGTTTTTTCAAACGAGAGTTACGGCCCGTACAACCGATTCTGTCAAACTTATTGTCTGTCACTCGCTTCCATTGGATAACATTTGAAAGAAGGAAGCATTGCACAGTATGTGTGAAGCACTGCTGTACAATCTCAACTATACATTAGACATCTCGGAATGTTCGTTTTTTCAGTTTTCAAAATTTTACTCGAGAACTGTGAAAACATATTTTTCAAGTGTAGTCTGAAATGGAAGTCGCCAGGTTGAATCGAGTGCCGTAAAGCTTGAGAAAGCTGCTTTCTAATTGGCTGATGTCGACTTCTTGTTAGTCATTTCAGTAATCGGTCAAAGTTCATGAAAGATCGTTCTGACGTGGCCCGTAATGGGATGTCCTCAGATCTTTGTTTAGCGGCTGCGAGAACTTAGATCTGATTTTAATGAGATTGAAAACTCCGAGGCCTGCTTGATATCAATATACACTTGTTTGACAGTCCATATGTTCTTGTGTGCATCACAAATTTATTAATATGCTTACACAGCAACATACAAGGGTTCTATAACTGCCTACTAATATATTTTAAAAAGTTCTACTTTTATTAAGGTTTGAACTAAGTTTGTACACTGCCATTTGCTGTTAATTGTTTTAAAAAGTGTTCAATTTTGTCAATTTTCTAAACACGAAGGTGCTTATTATGGCAAATACGGTATCCCTGATGCAAGGACTTGTGTCTTTTGGTACCGCTCCAGTGTGTCCTCATGGTGAAGTGGATACTGTTTCTGCCCAGAGAGTGGACGGGCACCCTTGGGTTCCTCAGATCAATGATTGTACTTCTGTTACCCTGCCTAGCCCACAGCAGGCAATAAGGTCAAAATGGGAGGACTGGTCAGCTGGGAGTCATTAAACCGTGTCTGACTGGGTAGTCATGTTAAACTGCAGCATGGTATCTTACTGGGCTAGCACTATAAATCGGCATCAGTCCGGTCTAGTACAAGCAGCCACACACACACACGTGCATGCACGTCGCTCTATAAGTGCAATAATCTTGGATGCGACGTTAAACCCAATTTCACCTCACCTCACCTAGTGGGCTAGCACTAAAAACAGTGATCAAGCCATTAATGCATGTGACAATACAAGTGAAATAATTCTTGAAAGTGATATTTGACCTGACCTCTAGGGCTTAGTGTGATATTATACCCTGTAAGTATACCAGTCTCATTCAAATCCAATCCTAGTGCTCACTACCGATTCATAGATCTGGTTTTAATGAGAATGCAATGATACCAGGGGTATGTTGAGAGATTTGCGGCCACATGAATTCCTGACTTGATATCTGAGTTAACCTTATTGCACAGGAGGCTGGGCGGATCACCAAGGGAGGCTATCTGGTAGTGACCTCGGACACAACGAGGAAGCAGATGTTGAACCAGGCTGACTGCATGGAGAAGATACGGTCGGTCATCTTCGGAGCTGGCGTACTTCCTCGTGAACTTACAGAAGAGGAGAAGACTGTGAGAGACAAGAGGTACGGAATCAGTCCTTGTTGTTTAGTTCCATGTACCCACACTTGAAGCTGAAGTTGAAGGTGTTCCAAGTTGTATTCAGTCATGGCTACACTGGGTCAACATGTACATATTGCAAGGCATGTCTTGTCCTGAGTTTAATTAACTGGACATTTTGACTGGTGCATGTTTCAGAATGGCCAAGGCAAAGCAGGCTGTGCTGAGGGAGAAGAAACAACACTCCCTCAAGAAACAACATCGCCAGACTCCAAGTGTGGGCAGTTCATGACCCCAGAAGACTGTGTATAAGCATTGTAGAGTGTGTGTGAGAGTGAAGTCAAGGGTGTGGTAGGGGTGAATGTCAACAGTCCAAGGACAGCTGCAGGAGGTGTTGATTCAGTCAAGGTGGAAGTAGTGTGTCATCAGATGTGTCGACCTGTGTCACTTCACCTCAGTCAGTTTGTAGCCGTGATAATAAAGTGAAGTTCTACAGTGTCTGCTTTATGAATTTAATATGGGCTGCCGTTTGGAATAGAGTGGAGGATTGAAGAAAGCTGAATATTTAGTGCAGAGGATTTTGTGCAACGGTTTCCCAAACCAGAGCTCTGCCACTGTCACCATTATTTTTCTCAAGCACGCGACCAGTGAAGATCCGGGGTAGAATAGGTCTTCAGCAACCAATGCTTGCCGTATGCTTGTTGTAATAGGCGACTTACAGGATTGGATGGTCAGGCTCGCTGACTTGATTGATGCATGTCATCGTATCCCAATTGCGAGGATCGATGCTCATGATACCAATCACTGGATTGTCTAGTCCAGACTCGATTATTTACAGACTATTGTCATATAGCTGGAATATTGCTGAGTGCCACGTTAAACAACAAACAATTAATCTCAAGCACACACTTTTGACAGATGTTAGAGACCTCTGAAGTGATCATAACTTTATTACAAAGGAAGCCAGAGGCATGGGACTTCTGTTTCAAGGGGAAACAACACTCCAACTCTCAGTCGTCATGCAGGCGCCGGTTTAATTCGTCTGTATAATCAACAGATTACATGTAGTGCAGAACACAATCAGTCGAGATTATAGTCCATATGCATATTTCGAATCTGTGAAGAAAATCATCTATATTTCAATATGCTCTTTAAAGTTGCACTACTCTGAATAGCATTAGGGGTCAAAGATGAGTGTATATATTGTTGAGTCAGCTGTTACCTAATTTGGTGAAGTCCAAATGGTTCCAGATATATTGGGGACGGATATATTGGGGCCGTCTAGTGGTTAATGTGTTCGGTTGTCACACCAGAAACCTAGGTTTAATTCCCCACATGGGTACTGTGTGTGAAGTCCATTTATGCTGTACCCCATCATGATATTGCTGAAGTATTGCTAAAATCATACTCACTCACTCACTCCAGATATATTGGTGGTGGTAGGAAATAAATCGGGGCCTTCAAGAAAAGGTTGAGATGTGCCTGCTTGCATTTTCGCATGTCATGCAAACGCCTGTGTTCTTGCAGTTGTGTTTGACATCAGAATCACAGGACCTGTCCCAGACGTGCAGTCCTTGGAGACATTCCATGGAAGGATCTGGGCTATAGGTTGAGTTACATAAGAATAAGTCAAATTATACCATGTGACTTCATACACACATTCATGCACCATGTTCCGCCTTATGTCTCTTTGTAAAAGCTAGCACACCACAGTACTTATTATATATATTTCCTGGGAGCCACATGGCTGCTAGCAATATTTTTCTTGGTGCCATTTTGCTCTTTAAGGAGCCACATTAAAATTTAAGGAGCCACATTGATTTAGGCTTACAAAGAATTTATTATTTGAGAACTTAAATAACAAGACAAGACAAGATTGAAAACATTCCAATTGTTCTGATGTGTCTGAACAACAAACTTTGAATTTGCCACAATGAGTGAATGAGTGAGTATTGTATTACGCCACTTTTAGCAATATTCCAGCAATATCACTTCGGGGACACCAGAAATGGGCTTCACGCATTGTACCCATGTAGGGAATCGAACCTACTAGGCTACCCGACCGCCCCTGCCACAATGAAGACAAATCATTGAACAATGACCCTTGTTGAAAGACAATAACTGGAATTCACTAAGGCAGTATCCTGAAACAATACTGCTGCTGCCTTTTCGCATTTATTCTACCAGACACACACATTCATAGCAGTTGAAGTAATCTCGGGTATCTCGCATCTCTGATTCCATTATTCCCACTAACATCTGCATCTAATAAACTCTTTTTAAAACTGCTGGCAGTAATTCATATCATCATTCTGTGATGGACAGTTTGACTTAGCGATGGCTCTTGAAAACATGTAAAATAGTCTTCTATGATATGAACATGCCACCATTGTGAAAGTAAACTGAAAAATGTGCATGTGACCCGAAATACATAAACTTGTAGCATTACAGACGATAGCATCAGAAGCAAGATATCGCTGTAGTGAGTGAGTTGGTGAGTGAGAATGGTTTTACGCCGCTTTTAGTAATACTCTAGCAATATCACGACGGGGGACACCAGAAATGGGCTTCACACATTGTACCCATGTGGGGAATTGAAACCGGGTCTTCGGCGTGACAAGCGAACGTTTCTACCGCAAGACTGCTACTCAACCGCCCCTCGATATCACTGTAAGGAGTGGCACTACCCAGCGAAGTCATACTGTTGAGATAGATTAGTTTCTTTCAATAAGTGAAATATTTTAGTCACCAAGCAAATTTTATTAATGGGAGCCACTGACAACCACACAATAAATTAATACAGGTGAACAGGCAGGTAGATGGCTAATAGGGATGAGATGAGTCCAAAATTACTACCCGTGTACCCGATCCCCTATTACCTGATCCTACCCAGGTACCCGGCCTCCTATTACCTGGGGCGGTCGGGTAGCCTAGTGGTTAAAGTGTTAGCTCGTCACGCCGAAGACCCGGGTTCGATTCCCGACATGGGTACAATGTGTGAAGCCCATTTCTGGTGTCCCCCGCCGTGATAATACTGGAATATTGCTAAAAGCGGCGTAAAACCATACTCTCACTCACTCCTATTACCTGACCCTACGCAAGTACCCGACCCCCTATTACCTAACCCTACCCAAGTACCCGATCCCCTAATTACCTGACCCAACTCAAGTACCCGATCCCCTATTACCTGACCCTACCCAGGTACCCGACCCCCTAATTACCTGACCCTATCCGGGTACCCGACCACCTATTACCTGACTACTGGAAAGTAAAACCTCACAATAGGTTTTAATACCAAAAGAAAGAAGTCTCTTACTTAATAGCGATCCCAATGAATAGGTTTTATATATCACAGAGAAATGAAAAAATACATTGAATGATACCGGACTTACGTACCCTCTCAGGGGGGACACTTATTTTACGATACTTCAACCCCCTGTGAATAAACAGCCACTAACAATCTCAGTTATGAATTCATTCTACCAAATTAAAATCACTTTCTATATACTATACATGTTATAATCAAAATTTATCTATTAATTCTATTTCTTTAAAAAAAAACGATGATTACATGAGAACTGATTTGACTAAAAAGATCCTTTATGGATGTAATTTTGAAATACTTATCTCTTGTCAAGGAAAAATCAATGCAGTCAAGCAGGACATGCTTGACCGTGATTCTTTCATCACAAGGGATGCAGAATGGAGGAACCTCGCCTTTCAATAAATATTCGTGGGTATATCTGCTGTGGCCAATACGACATCGTCGCATTATGACCTCTTCAAATCTGGACTGACAGCCTATGTAGGTGTAACCGATAGTTGGTTTAATTTCATGTAATTTATTGATACCTACCGGGGTGTCCCACTTCTTCTGCATGAGATCCCTGATGTAACATCTCATAATCACTGTATGGGATAAGAAGTGGTGTCGCAGATTTGTTGAGTGCTGCTTTCGCAGCAGCATCAGCCATTGTGTTACCAATGATTCCAACATGGCTCGGTAACCAACAAAAACGATGTCGTATTCGCCAGTAGCAAGATCATTAAACTATTCAATAAGTTTGATTTAAATCGGACGTGTACAAGATTGATCTTTAATGGCTTGAAGGCAAGAGAGTCTGAAAATATAATAAATTGTTTATTGGTTATTGATATATTCTCGTGCTGTGAATATGGCCTTTGCTTCGGCCGTAAAATGGAACAGTTGTCTGGTATTCGGTTTGACATAGTCCTGGATCCAATGACAGTGGCGCTGGCAACAACGTCACCATCCTTGGATCCATCTGTAAATATAGATTTGTAGGTATCGTATGAGGATCGTAATTGATTATATTCTTGCAGATACATTAGTTGATTTGTTTCAGATTTTTTAAAATTAGTGAGAGAAAGGTCTACTTCAGGTCTGACTCCAAGGAGGAGTAGACACAAGCCGGCATGGAGATATTATATCTAAGTCAATATTAGCATCTGCAATGTGAGACTTGATCCAAATGCCAAGTGGCGGTACAAGCTTTGGCTTGTTGTGAAACAGTTCCTCATTGAGAGGACTAGTTATAAGCTGGATTTGATGGGTTTGTACGTAATTTAGTTATTTACTGAAGGGATACTTTTAAGCGGCGCTGTGCAAGCGAGGGCTCATCGGCTTCCACATACAAACTAGCTACAGGAGAGGTGCTAAATGATCCAAGACAGAGTCTTGGTCCTTGATGATGTATGCTATCTAATTTCCCTAAATTACTTTGAGCAGCTCCAGCATATACAATTGAACCATAATCTAGCTTAGAACTAATAAGGGATCTATACAGGTGAAGTAAGGTTGTCTGATCCCCACCCAAGCTTAGTATTTGCAACAACTTTTAGTAGATCCGGAGCCTTCAAGCATTTAGTTTTAAGATGTTTTATATGAGGTTAAAACGTCAAGTGGCGATCACAAAAAAGACCCAAGAACTTGGTCTCCTCAACAACCTTGATGGTGGCACCGTTTAACAGTTGCTCCGGGCCTTTATGCGGTCTAGAATGTCAACAAAAATGGATACAATTTGTCTTTGCTTTGGAAAATCTAAAACCATTCTCAAGCGACCACTTTTGGATTAAATTTAGGGAAAGCTGCAGTTGCCTTTCTATTGTGTGCATTTTGTTGCCACGAGAAGATATGTTGAAGTCATCTACAAAGAGTGACCCATCAATTGAGTCATTCAATACCTTGGAGAGACTGTTAAGTTTAATCATCCAATACAGTTAGAAGTGTCTGGAGACTTGGTTCGGGCAAGTGTTTTAGAAGCTGATAATGAATATTAACAGCTCAGTTGCAGTATCATGAGCTTGCCCAAGGGCGGTGTTGAGCTCATGTAGTCCTTTGCAACTGGCACATTTTATTTATGCATCACAATCGGTGTTCTCAGTTTCACCACCGCTACGCTGACAAATCACAGAGTGGTTACAATATTTGGAGCCATGACCAAATTTTTGGCACTTGAAACATCGGAGTGGATT